TTTTTTTGACCAAATAGTAGCTCAGCTATATGAAAGAAGCACATAAAGGAAGATAGTTTTAGTCCGTTGAGAAACGGAGAGAACCTATTTTGGACTTTCGTTTGTTGTTGTGAAGCGTCGTTCCTGATCTGATAGCTGGATGTTACATATTTCTGAGATATCTTGGTTGCTCTAATCTTCCTTCTGTCAAGCAGAGTTGTCCTCTCATGTGGCCAGAATCCTTTTAGCACACCTGATAATGTGAGCAAGTGTTCTTTCTCTTAATGTTATAGGCAGTCACTGTACCTGGTAGCCTGTAGTATTGGTATTTATTTACTGTTATTCTAGGTCATGGTTTAAAAGTCATATGTGCTCACCTGTAAGATGCCTTCCTTCTGTTCCCTTGTATAAAATCTCTGGAGAAATAAGCAGGTGGGAGTGGGCTGCTTGGGGTGTGTGGGCCTGATTTCTCCGAGTTCTGCTAAGGTAGCATTACATCACTTTGCACAGGCAGAATGCTAGAAAGACGTCTTAAATGCCTTATATACCATTTCTACTTATATGAAATTACAGTCCCTCTCTCAATAAAGAAGTAAAGTGGAAAGACTCATTTCTGCTGCTCCGTTTGTTGTTTTGGAGGTTAGGAATGGAGCAGCAGAAACAACTGGATCATATGGTGGCTTATGGGGTGAGACCTGGCTGTTGTCTTGTACTGCTCGAACCAGCTGGTCAACTTCTGGTTTCTCAAAGCCGCAGAGGGAGCGTCCTTCCCGGGAGCTTCTGAGGAATGCTTCAGCATTGCTGGTGCCTGTTAGTGGTTTGGGATTTGTGTGTGCGTGGCTGTGTTTTCCTAAACATACCATTCTGACTGCTGCCACTACCCAGTCGTGTTAACATAAGAAGGATTTATTAACAAGTTACCAGAAGAGAAGTTTTTAACCCATTTATGACTTTGAGGCACGAAGCTGAAACTTTTGCATTACAAAGAGGAAGAGGTAGTCCTGATGGTCAGTCATGCACTGAAATATGAAGAGCAAACCACAAACGCAATATGCTGGGCTGGTCTCTGTGAGATCTGTATTTACTACTACAACCAAGCGTGATATGCAGAAAAAGCAAATGAGATTTTTGGGCACTCCTACTTTTCCCAGCTCTTGTCAGTTTGTTCAATAAAAGCCATCACATCATTGCATTACAAATCTGGCCATTTTTGAGCACACCAAGCTTGCTGACACACTGCAGCTGTTAGTAGGGAAAAATCAACCCTGAAAGTGCTCGTGCTTCAATCATGTATGTGTAAATGGTGTGCCTTTTTGAGATTCCTACGCTATAACTGCATAGGAGTAGGTTGCCAGGTGCGTTCTGTCTTATCCTTGAGCTCAGCAAGGTTTGGGCTGATGTAGTGATAACTTAGGTATTGTTTAAGTAAATAGAAAGAGAGCATAACATTCATTAAGAAGAATGTAAGTTTGACCAAGAAAGAAGTTGATTTGATGGCATGGAATTGAAAAGCCTTTAAATAGGCAAAGGAGTCTATGATTGAAATCAAAAAGCTAACGGCCTTACAACATTTTCAGGTCATGGAGTGTGTAATGTTACCTTTTATGGAATAGATGGGAGGAGGTTTTTTTACTGTTGTAGTGTGGATTTGTCTGGTGGGGTGGGGGCTTTTTTTTGTTTTTGTTTTGTTTTTCACAGCTAAACAGGGTTCAGTTTTGGGTGCAGCCCTGGATCTGACTAGCCCCATAGCACTCAAGCAGAATGAATTGATGTTCCTAATCTCTAAAATGATTTTAAAAACATTCTGAGCTACATCACCTTGTACCCTTTATCTGTAAACAGCTCATCAGAGTAAAGTGTGTTTGACAGTCTCTTAGACGGTATTAATTGCCCTTTCCTAGTACTAGCAGGAAGCAGAACTGACCAAAAAAGCTGAGCTAGACTGTACTTGTGCTGTTGTCACCACTGATCGGGCTGAAGAGGTGTGGAGGGAAGATGGTTAGACCTCAGAAGACAAAAATAAATTTATGCAAGGGACTGAAAAAGAATGGCAAAGACTGAGGATTAGTGGTGGTGACTCTCCACTGATTTTTAAAGAGAGAGAGAGAGGAAAAAAAAAAAAACTGCAACAAGTGGTCTCTTTATCAGATACTCTTAAGACCTGACAAATATACAAACTTTGGACTTTTCTGAAATGCTCCTTTCTATGCTAACATGCTTGCAGCAGTTTTAAAATGTGATAGTTGTAGCTGAAGAGGTATTATGGAGAAGCAAAAGTAGCTGTAAGAAAGCGTGACAGAAAAAGTGGTTCAGGTGGGATCAGCTGATGCTTGAAAGCTTTATCTTGGTCTCCGTTTTTCTCTAGCCCAACCTAAGACAGCTGTCTGGATGGGGCTGAGAAAGCCCCAAAGGCAGGCCCTGGGGGACAGTGTGCCTGTATCTGTATTGTGTGTGCTATAGGTGAAGAATACTTCCTCAGGGAAACATAGTGAGCAATTTAAAAGCACAAAATTAAAGGCCTGAATTTGTAGTGTATGTATTAATATGTCCTGGAGCAAGCAAGTGTGTATGTGCATGGTTACAGTAGTACACAGTAGGCTTTGCTCTTGCAAAAAGTCATTGCTTATGCATGTGTACGATGAGTTTGTTGATTGTAGATTCAGCCTTGCAGGGTCTCCGGGCTCATGTATTTTTCTTGACTAGTAGAGTAATGGGTTCTGGCTAGCAAGATGCAGCAAGCACCCACTGTTCCTTCCACTTTGCACTACTTCCTTATTCTGATTTTATGGACTATGTCAACTGAATAAAAGTTCACTGGTCAGATGCATGAGCTAAACTTGGTAGCCTGCCACTGTTTTGCTGAAGTGGTGACACCTCATCAATGTAAGGACACAACAGTCCTGGCTGGAGTGTGGCTCTGTGCATGTTCTAGATGTGGCTACATTTAGTGGTAGCAAGCTCCAGTCTAGTGGGGGATGTTAAAAGTGTGCTGAATTCTTGACGCTCTCTTGTGGGCATATATACAATATGTATGTATGTACCTCTTTCAGGGTTTGCTAGGGGATAGAAGTAGAAGGTTACACAAGCTGCACTAAAGTTCTTTTTTTTTGTTTTTTTTTTTTTTGGAACTCATTTATGGAACTTTGTAATCTGATTAAAAAGCTGATAATACTCAAGAGGTTGTTTTTGTTTTGCGTGAATCTCTTCAAGTAGGTTCTTCATGCTGTATTTTCCCTCTACTTTTTTTAAAGTGGGAGGAAATGCTAACTGGCTCTGAATCATTGTTGCTACCTAACAGTCTGTGACGAGCACAAAGTTAGGCCTTAGATTTAAAAACTTAAGTTTTTAAAAAATGTCAATGATCTCGTAAAACTCTAAGGGGTTATTTTTATCAGAACTGGCCAAAGTCTTTCAGTAAAGTAATATTTCCATTGGAAAATGCTAATACAATGAAGTTGAAACCAGTTAGGCTAGGATTTAAAAAAATTTTAATTTCATGCATCTGATATGTGTTCCAGTTAACCCCTCCCTGCCCCAGCCCCTGTAGCCTAGTCATAACCAAATGCTGCAGTAAGAAAAATGCACATATTGCTCAGGTCCCTGCTACTAGCACAGCCAGGCGGTGTAGCTGTAGACAACCCTGTTCCAAACTGTAATCCACCTTAGTGTGCATGGCTGAAGGCAACTGTCTCATTTCTAATGCTCTGCAAGCATCCTTAATCTTCCAAACAAAGCACTCTAAAGTCGAGTCAAAGACTACATGAATACCATGTTGCTGTTACAGACACTAGTGTTGATGTACAAGTGATACATGGTCTGGTGTTGATGTGTGGAAGAAATAAAGCCTCTTTATCTGCTCTAAGTTACCTACTTAAACCTGCATGAAAAAGCTTGAGTGTTTTCTGTCTTACAAATTATAGTATTTACAATTACTTCCTCTTTGTCTTCAGGCAACCAGGACAATGTCATGGTGTTATTTTTGGTATTGCTTCCCCTCACCCCCTTTCCCTTAAGGAAGAAATGTTTGTTTGTTTGTTTGTTTTTTAAAGGCAGTCAGTAGATTGTTGATTAGGTACTGATGATGGCATACTAAGACTGTCTCAGCTGACTGACTTTTGATTTGCTCCCATACCGATAATGGTTTGGGCGAAAGTGCTGCTCTGGGCATCTTTCTGCTCTGGACAGGGAGTTCTTCTGTGTGGTTGTTGGGGGTTGGGGGGGGGGTTGGAGAGAGGTCTCTTGGCCCTTTCATCCAAGGGGTTCAATGACTTCAGATTTTTGGAAATCAGGCAAATGTAGAAACTTCCTAAAAAAACAGACAGTGTCACATATACGTGCGATCTATGTAGGCAGATTTGGCTAAATACTCCTTTGACTTCAGTGGGGTGGTGCACAAATGAAAGGTGAACAACAGGGATGCTATGGCGAGGGCTGCCCGCTAGTCAGAAACCGAACTGCAGCAATAGAATGGGCAGAGATTTATAAAGTAAGTGAGCTGGCATCGCAACACATTCTTCTCTGTATTTTCTGTGCGTTACAAGGATTAAGACATAATAGAATTTCACCCTACCTTTTTCTTCCCTACCTCTCTGCTGGTGGAGTTACTCTTGGTAGTACAATGTGGGCATTGAGAGTAATTGATTTAACAGTCTGGGCCACATTTGAAGGCAAATTCTACACTTCTAGGTCCAATGAAGTAACTGGAAAACAGCTGCCCTTAAAAAAAACACCCTATTAACAACAGTTTTTAAAAAAGGTTGTGTCTGATTGATTGATAGATAGTGTTGCATGTTACAAGGACTCGCATTTACCAATCACTCCTGAATAACAGAATTAAAAAAAAAAAATCTTTAGGTGCTTGGGTGCAGAGACCTTCACTTTTTTTTTTTTTTTTTTGGGGGGGGGGGGGGAGAGAAAAATATTAAAGATGCTGAGGAAGTAAAGTAGCCAAGTTAGGTATCCAAACAGATGTTGTTCTTTCTGTGCTGTATTGGCAGTAAAAGAGAGTGAGCCATAATTGCTACATTTAACACTTGTACATTTTATTTAGTTAAATCAGCCATTGTACACATTGCAGCTATGTATTGTTAGTGTTGTGGTTTTTTTTTTTTTTAATTTTTAACTAATACATGCCCTCATAGATATATTCAATTAGTGTTATCACCATGGGAACAAGATGCTGATTCATCAACTTAAAATTCACTTCTCTCACAGTATTCAAGTTCTTTGATAACACAGCAAAAAATCAAAATAAGAAGAGGTGAATAACCATTATGTTGTTACACAGAACATCATCTGCACCGCAAATAACACAACAGAAATGCATTTCTTTAGAGCCCCATTCTTGAAGATCATCCTGTGCTGTCTTTGACAATAAGAAAGCCCTGATGTATCATGAAATGTTTCATCATGGGTCTCATTCATTTTGGCTGCCAAAACACTTGCTTTCTATCTGTCTGCCAAAAAAAGAGTTAGCATGATGCCTTGCATTGTTTTGCTTGCAGGAAGCCAGAACTCCCAAAATGTTTTCACTCTTTTGGCATCCTTACTTTAATGAGAAAGTGCCCTTGTTCTGAGCACTGAGTGAGTCATTTTAAAAAAAAAAAAACAAAAAACAAAAACAAAGGCCAGATAAGTATTACCCCTAGAGGACAGGATTTATTTTTCACTAGCTTTCTTTTTTTCTGAGTATACTATTAAAAAAACAAATAGCTGATTAAAAACATTTAGAGTGTGTCTGTTTATGCATCGTATTTGCCAGAACACTACAGAGCTCTGACCACTAAATATTAAGATACAGAACACCAGAAGTGTCAGATCTTTATGTTCCCTTTTTTGAAAATAAAAGTGCAGACATGCTATTATGGTTTTCAGAGGGTTGATTTAGAAATATATATAATATATATAATATATAAAGATAACAAAATATCAACAGAAACTGGCTTTCTAGGATGGTGAGCAACTTTCTTTTTAAAAAACACTTGATTGGAAGATAAAAACTGCTCGCTCAGTGCTAAGAGGGCTAACAAGCTGACATGATTACAGAAGGATTTGGTTTTGACTTTCAGATGCCACATGCATGTATCAAGTAAGAGGCAATCTTGATAAAACACGGTGAATTAATTAATCTCTTTGTATAGTGGGTAAGTCTTTCTTCCATAGTTATCTACAGTGCAGTGGCCAGCAGGTGTGGTTTGCTAAAGCAGTGATGAAAACAGGAAACTACTGTAGTTATAATTGTTTAATACACCCTGCCACATGTCCAGATCTAAAAGATTTTAATATTGTATGCAAATATACCATAGATATAGCTGCTAGCAAGTTGGTTACCTAATTGGATATTGTTATTATTTTTCCTCTTTCTGGAAATCTTTAGGTGGCTGTCCAAAGGTCTTAAAAGTATTCAGGGCCACAGTCAGCTGTTACTTCATGAGAACAGCTGAATTTCCAGGTTTTTAGCCTGACTCTTAGAGCCTTTAACTGTAATAGATCCCTACACTGGAAGTCTTATGGAGGCAGGAGATCTGCAGTGCTTCCTCCTCGGTCGGTCTGTGTTTTCAGTCAATTGCGTTAACAGTATTTATTCATCGCTGCTCAGCGGTTTCAATAGACCTTGTAATCCATGATGCTAATTGTAGTCATAGGCAGTGTGTTTTCTGCAGTCTTTAAGTCCAAATACTCTTGCTATATACAGTTTACATGTTAACATCCCCCTTCCCCCCCCCCTTTTTTAATGATGCATGTACATAGTCACTTGAAGAGGCCTGTAGATGAAGTTGGCTTGACAAATGCAATTTCATGAAGCTAGTGCAGAAGCAAAGGAACAGCCAAAAGTGGCGATGCTGACAAATTCCCAGTACAGCACAAAGACGACGATTCGGTGGATAAATCATCCTGAATGAAGGATGCTATCTTTGGTCACAAATTAGCTTACAGGGTAAAAAAATAACAAAAATCCCAAAATCAAATATGGGGGGGCAGGGGTAAAATGAATTTGCTGCACCTGCACAAGTAGAAATGGCAGTGTCTTCCAGTGATTATGTAGGTAATAATGTCACACCTAGAGAAGATAAATGTTGCATACTGGATGGATGGTTAATGTGTTGCTGTTGAGGGGTGGCAGCTTCTCACTTTGCTTCGTGTTTCCAGTCCTCCTTGCAGAAGTGCCTAAGAAGCTGCTGGAGGTCATGTTGAAGGTCATCCTGTGGTAGTGCTTCTGGTGCGTCTTCCAGCTCTTCTATGTGAACATGTTTTCCATACTGGTCCTTCATCACAGTCCTCTTCTGTGTGCTGGCTTTATTCAGTCTTGTCCTAAAGAAAAAGAATGAAAAGACTTTCTTTAAAAGCCCACAGCTTCTGAAGCTTTTAGAAGATGCTCATTTTCAGTTTTAAAGCTCTTTCATTTAAAATAAAATGAGAACTGTAGCTGGCAGCAACAGTTGAGCCAGTTTCTGAGGTTAGATATTCTTTATGCACTCTGAATAAAAACACACACCACTAACTTGCTTCCCTAAGGTAAACTAATAACAGTTCATCTGTACATACTTGTTAAGCATATAGTTTTATGTGCCTGACAAAAACATGCTGTAACACACAGACATGCAACATTATCTTGAAATCCACACAAGACCTTCCTACTTGCTGTATTTAGCTTCGACATACAGAGGTGTCTTGTACAACAGTAACTTAAGATTCTGTCACAATCGTTTCGGCTTCTTTAGTTTATACCTTCCTGAAGACCTCTGAGCAAGTCCTACTTCTGACTGTCAGTAAAACTGTACTTGTGGCAATCTAGTGTCTTAAACTGTTCTGTTAACTGCTCTCTTACCTCATCAGAACCTCTTGCCCTAGTAGTCAAAAACCTTAAACCTCCCTAAGCCACCTTCAGCTGTAGGCAAGTAAATGTAGTTGTCATAGGAAAGCAAAGTTACCCAGAACCCCACGTTCTGGTCAGTGCCTGTGAGTGAGGACCATGGGAAGTCAGCATACTTGGAAATTCCTGATTCCTCTGCCAGGAACAGAGCTTGATGCACAAACCTATTTTAACAGGCAGTTGATGCTTCTTTCTGTGACCTGTATGACCAAAACATCCCTCTATCAGCAGAAGGCCTTGACAGGTATAGCTGTTTCTTCATCTACAAGTAGATGAAGGTTAGTAGGCCTTTCGGCTCCTTTTGTCCTTGTGACACCATCACAATAACTCTGAAAACAGTAGGTGCTTGCAGCTTGTAAGGGCTTCCCTCTCAGTGAAGTGGGATACTGCTTGTCCCAAGTATAAAATACAAATCATATAGAAACAAATTAAAACTGACCCTTTATACTTCAGTCAGTGTGTTCTCTCCAAATGCTAACATTGGCTCTACCATGCTAATGCATTAGTCACTATCAATACAAGTGGCCCAAAAGAAAATGCATGTATGCTAAATAACATGTAGTAGCCTGAGCTCAAGTTGTGTGTGGTAGGTATGCATATATTTGTTGTACTAAGCAGCTCTTATGGCTAAATGTTTTCATCGCCATCTCTCTGCCCTACCTCATTCTTCATGGAGCTCAATTCACACATGCATATATATCTTCTCATCTGTTTTGATAATACTTCAAATTACCAAATGATCCTGGAGCCAACTCTTATGTAAAATTATTTTGAAGTATCCTTGATTTATTTTAACTGTAAATCACAGTGTTATTTTACATCACCCCCCTATGAGCAATTGGGCAGTGACACACATTACTGAGCTAGTCTTTCCAACTGAATGTAGACCTTTCCAGTGCTTACATCCGTTCCTGTGATAAGATGTTAGTAGGAATATTTAGTACTTTTGCAAATAAAGCTTTAAATACTGCCAGACAGTGGTTTCACTTTAGACACTGACTTACTTAAATCCGCTTATGTTTGTTTGTTAAGAGTTTGTTAGTGCTCTTCTAGTAACAGTTCATTGACATGCCAAGCCAAACCTTTTAATAATTGAGCCATCCTCTTTCATGATTTCTTTCTCTACTAAAGCAGGGAGTTGAACTTTCATTTGGTTACCTGTATAGCTCAAAGCCTAAATTAAAACAAAAACAAAACCCAAGGACACAAGATAATTGCTCTTCATACCTTAATCTTCATACTAATGAAGTTGAGTAAATCTATGCAGAGCTGAGTTGTTTAAAAACACAGCATGCTGAGAAGTCTGCAAAAACGCAAATACTTTGGAAGTATCTGCCTGTCAATTGCATCCTTTTGAGTCTTCCTCAAATGTATAAATGAGTAACAGTTTCTCATGTAGTATGTTTTCAGTCTTACTAAGAACTGTACTGAAGCGTGTCTTACTACTACATTTTCAACTTTTAAACAGCCCCCCCTCAAGGCCTGGAGCACCATGTTTGCACAACTCGCTCATCATTTGTAGCTGTTTATGACAATCCTTCTCCTATTGCAGGAAACTCTGTCTTTTATCTCTGTTTCAACTGTCATCCTGAGCTCTGTCTTGCTCCCATGTCTTGAAACAGTTGCCTGTTGCCAGTGCTAGCAGTACATAGACACAAGTGGTGATGGTTCTGAGCCCTGATTATACTGAAATGGAGGAGGCAGGGAGTGGAGTCCTGCAAGCGTCCCACAGAATATCTGCTGATGGTAATACTTCACAGGAAAGGGGGGTGGGGAGGGGTTCAGCATTTTTATTTCTGTTTGGCTGGATATGGGTTTCTTTGTGGTATCTTCTGCAGGCTTCTTGATTTGCTTTTCATTTTTAAGTACAAAACTAAACTGGAAGCTGTTAGGTGAGGAAAAAGTGTCATTTCCAAGCCTGTTCTTTGAATCTCTACTGCAGCATGTGACAGTTCTTGTTGCTTGTGTTGGTATTGCCAGGAGAGAGGATCGAGCTACAGGGCCTATATTCATAAATGGAAATTTGACATCTCAATGAAATAGCTTACCACTGTTGTCCTCCTGCATTATGTAGAAGGAGTGTGCTGCAGAAAACCCATACCTGGACCATGACATTGTTGCATCTATGCTTTCATGTGCTTATTTTGTCAAATTAAAAAACTTATGTTTTAATGTTACAAATTTTTGTCAAATTAAAAAACTTATGTACTTATGTTACATATATTGCCAAGAAGCTCTCTTCTGCATGAGCCTTCAGAGGTGACAAGGTATTGTATGCATGTGTTATTTAAAGGGATAATGGATGGATTAAAATTAAAGTGCTATCAATTCCTTGCAGAAAAAAAATATAATAGTTTAATATAACTTTTCTAGTACTAACATGTCTAAGTTCATCAGAAAAAGCATTAAAACAGGAAAGGTGTTGAATAGCTTGGTAGCTCCTCCTTCTTTTCAAGGACAAAAGGAACAATTGCTGTGATGCATGGACTTGTCTAGAGAGTAGACTTACCTGTTCTAATTTCTGAAGTTAGCTGCACGTGTTGCAATGTATGAATGGGCTTATCTAAGAGTATCCGGGCTTTTCTAAGAGTGTCCTCACAAATAACTTCTATCAACTTTAGTCAAATCCTGCATGTTTTTTAGAACCTTAAAATGTTTCACAGCTAATTCTTTAATGACAGATCTTCCCATCCCCACCCTTCTTTATATACTAAGGTCTTCCTAGCATGGCTGCATATAATAATTGAGGTTTACACTTGGTGTCTGAGTGATGCTCCACTACCACAACCCTCTTGGTAGAGTACAATTTGTCCCCGGGTATGCTGTGACATTTTTTTTAATATTTGGATTTAAAATGCCTTTTTACCTCTTCAAAGTCGTCTTTGGCTGACGGAAGATCAGTAGCTAAGCTTGAATCCCCCAAGTGTTTCTCTGTCCTCTCTCCTTGCACTACAGTGGTCTTTATGACTTTGCTGACCTTGCGGCCTTCCACTGGTTCAGACTGGAATTTGGAGGTACTAGACAAAACAGCAGGTTCAGACAAGGTCACCTGGAGGGTCAGAAAACAGAAGTATATTGAGTATGAATTACAAAACTAAAAGACATAAGCTTAATTTGTATCTGTTATCTTACCGTTCTTTCTTAATCATTGCCCTACACAACAACAATGTAAGAAACATCTCACTTCCTGTGTGTACTCATCAAAATAGTGAGTGTGCATTTGTTACCTGCTGTACAGCTCCAGTACTAGACATTTTAAGGTTTGTGCCAGTTCAGACTGCAGGAGCAGCCCTGGATAATTTACTCTGCTAAGTAAATGCTGTGGCTGTGCTGCCACAGCTGGACTGCTTCCGGAACCTGAATCAGCCTCAGGCTAACAGGGATATTGCTACCCTCCACCACAGCACAGGCTGCCATATGGCTTACCTGCCAAAGCCAGTGGAATATTATACCAAGTAACAAGTGGACCTCTTCCTGTGAATCCTTGCTGGATACACTGGCAATATGGATCAGTGTTATCAGTCCATATCATGTAATTAAGAACTCCTTAAGATGTAAGTCATACTTGTAAAATCACGGCGCTCTTAACAGGAGTAACAGACCAGAATTTTCAAATACCACGTGAAAGTGATAAACAGGATTTTATTTTGCAAAACACAAATTAAACGTGTATGGGCTCCCTATCATAAACTGTTATTGCTGGCTAACTAAAAAAATGACTTTGTTTTTGGGTTACCTTACTCCTAGGGAATTAATTCTGATGAGTAAATGGGATTGGTGGGAGAGAACACAATCATGTTCTTAACGTTTCTAACAACAGGTCGTTAAACGTTGCTTTCACCTTCAGTACTACTGAAAGCTACCTCTCTGCTAGCTTTGGCCCCTCTGTCACCACCTGAATTGTGCTGATACAAATATCTGTAGGGCTACATGGCGAAGTAGGGCAGGAAAAGAGGAAAAAGAAAAGCACTTACCTTTCAAGGTTGGGGGTGGGATTTTTTTTTATTTTTGTTTTGTTTCCTTTTTAAAAAATATCTGGCTCTACAAACAATTTGCATAAAAGCAATACTTTTGTTTAACCTCTTCAAAGCAAAGAGCACATCAGCGGGTTATACCTAATGTAACTGTAGTTTTAGAATAGCTTAGTTTTTGAATTGTGGAGAACATCAAATCATTTCATTACGACATACACTAACTCCCTTATTAGATAAGGGGTCTGATAACAAATGCATACTTATCATTCATCTATACATCATCTTAGCGTTCTTTATGAATTTGATACTTTTCATAAATCATTAAATTTGAACCTGTCTTGTGACTTTCATATTCAGAGAAAACTGCACTCATCCCTCCCCCCCGCCTTTTTCTGCATCTCTTTTTCTGAGGCCTTTCCATCTGCAAGGAATTTTTGTTTTTTTTAAGTATAATTAAAAAATAATGTTGCTGGCATGAGTAGGATGTAGTTACTAAATATGCTGTTAAAGTACTTGGCCTCTAACAAGATCAGCCAGCAGCACAATGCCTCGTCCAAGCACATCTTGAAGTTCAACAGGAATTTTGTAACAAAAACAACATAAATGAGATAAAAATAGTCAAGAGTAGGAAGCTCTGTTCTTTCAGCTGCTCTGTTCCATCACAAGGAAAATGGAAGGCCTAACCTCAGACTGTTCACTGTCGCTCTTCAGCACAACCCGTTTTACAACTTTGGAATAGCCATCTCCTTCTTCAACTTTAACAGGCTGTTGTGGTGTTCCTTGCATTATGACTTCCTCTTTTTCTATGCCATCCGGAGAAACGTATCGCCGGATGATCTTTCTAGTGACCTGAAAGAATGAAATAGAGCTTTGTGTGTTGAAAGAATTAAAAATAACGTATTATTCCTTCTTATTCTCCATATAGTATTTTCTATTTGAAGCGGCCCCTCCCCCACCCCCGACCTTAACGTATGGAACTATATAGACAGTTCAGTGTTTTAGCCTTTTAACACATTTTTCACAAACACCTATAGTAAAGGTGCACACTGATGCACTGGCCCAACTTAAGCTACCATACAGCAAAGCTCCTATTAACTTTTTTCACCAGTGGGCATATTATACGTATTGGAACTACTCTTTAAAAAGTAGTTATTATTAGGAAAAGAAGCATACAACCTTAGATAGAAAACGTACTTTACAACCACACAACTGCTAGAGGGCATCTCAGGACTGACATTTTCAAAAAGATCATCAAATCGAAAGACTTGAAAGTGAGAGGTTATCAGCTTGGCTATTAAGTACTTAGAACCAGATTCACAAAGGGGCTTGGACATAACACTGATAGCGCTGACTGCCCCTAACCACTGCTTAACTAGTGAGCTGGAATCAAGCCACTTACTTAAGAGACTCATCCGGTGCATGGGCTTTCTAGGCACTGACAAGCCAAACAAAGAGGAGCAGAAGAGAACAACAGGGTTCAAGCCAAGATAAATCTTTCTAGGATAACGAGAATGTACCCCTCTCTGTATGACCTAAAACGCTCTACTTTCTCATATGGTTACCCAGCCCCTTTAGACAAGATAACATTAAGCATTTACCTCCCTCTTTGTCCAATAACTTACTTTCTGTGATGCACAATCAGACTGTTTGTGTCATGTATCCAATAGTCACAGAGGCAGGGGTATTTCCCTCTCCATCCAGTAGGTCAAAGACTCGGGCTCCCTCTTGTACAATGTACTTGGGAATACTTCTTGTTGTTTGGGATGGGGAGGGGATGGTATTTGTTTATTTTCCTTTAATATGAATTGGAACAGCTTCCAGAGAGATGTGATCCAGCTGAGGGTCTGTGACCTTCTCCCAAGAGATAAAAGCTGGAAACTGCCACCAGCAGAACTCAGTTCTGCCAAGCCCTAGGCCAAGTACCAAGAGGTCAAATAAAGCAAGGAGGACAGAACTTCCTCTTCCACCTCCGTGGTGTGCAGAATTCAGTTTTATAAGCATGCTCTGGAAATGCTTATTTTATGAGACCATCAAAGAAGCAACTAATTTCTGTATTCTCTGTTCCGTGAAACCTAAACTGTATGTACAGATACAGAAATTTAGGAACGTGTTCAGTCACAACCGAGGAGAGATTTTTGAGGATCTGGATTTAGGTGACCCTTGTGGATCTAGCCCTCCAGTAGTTTCATTAGTATGAGCAAAGTCATGCTCGTAGAGGAAATTTAAAAAAAAAAATCCAATGAAAACTCTACATAGTTCTGCATTTCTGAGGGGGAAGAAAGAGGTAAACTCACCAAATAATGTCATGGTGAATTATAAATTGAAAAAAGATTGGTCTTGCAAATCAAAATAAATTTTCAAATCTTGACATTTCCCATTAACAGAAACTCTATTTCCTTCCATGCACTACTCACTCTTAAAAAAAATCACACCCCTTTGCAAAAGAAAATTAAGCATGTATGTGGATTTATTTATCCTTCCATTTATAGGACGGTAGGAAGGTAGTAGGGGGTCATAACTGACGATACCTTCTTTACCACTGTGTGGCCATATTCATCTGTATATTGCTCTTCTGTGACTGATTCTGGTGGCATTTCAGGCATACTATCAGCCTGTATGACAAAGAACAAACTTCTGTTAAGCAGTGACTTAATGTAAGTCATTTCTTTAAATAAGCAACTTTAAAATTGGTTAATTGGTTAAAGAATGAAAAAAAAAAGTATTAGAAAAAAATGTGTTCTGTAGATAAATATTTAGAACAGTATTAGCATGTATTAGAGAAGTGTAAAGCAAAGGAAAGTTATGCCATAACTGACAGGCAAATCTGTATTAGTTGACTGCATACAGAGCTGAAAAGTCTCTGTCCTCCTACTGAGGTATCTCACAGAATATAGAGTAGGATTAGCAGTTCTACTATAATGGTCTGTCTTCTCCCCAGAAAAGGTACTAGAACAGTTTATCCAATGGCATGCATCATTCAGGAGCATTGCAGCTTCAGGTGCAAAACCAGCCAAGCGGGTGTCTCAGCAGCAGTCCAACGGGCGTTACCAGGGCATGATCACCACTGGCACATGCAATAGTTCAACACTCAGTACCTGAATAATCACCCGGCGCCGAACGACCCTGGTCGTTACCATTTCTTCCTCATCTGAGCTGGTCTCCAGCTCGCCTAATTCCTCTGCTAATTCCTATTGGAAGCATGGAAGCAGTGCTCTGTTTACTGATGCTGTATGTGGTACTAAAAGTACTTAGAGGTTCTGTCTTGTTTCTATTTACAAGCATCTTCTCTTCTGAAAATTTCTGCTCTTTGGATTTTGACCTTTTGTCCTCTTACCTTTTAATCTGTGAAACATTTATGCAGCGGGAAAGAACAGCTGTGGCTGCTTGACGGCACATTAGCTGAATATTAGCATATTGAAAAGAGAAGGATGAATCTCTAGTACTATCTCTAAGGGATGTTTTTAGTGAAGGTTGCCAGAGCCAAGCCTGAAATAGGCTGCATTACCTGACTCCAGATGTACCAGAAGGTATTACTAACACCATATCTAGAATTCATATGTACTGAATTTGGTTTCTATATTAATTGCACAGGAAATTACATGAAAGCCTTTAAATTCTCCATACTGAGAAACGCACAGTGCAGCATATAGACACTGGGACTGAACAAGTTTAGCTAGAGGAGAACATATCAACATTGTCTGGGCACTGGATTCTTCAAAAAAAATTAATAGTAAGTTTTGAGGTCCTCTCCTGCACAGGGAAGAATTCAGAATTTAAAGGAACATTCGTTCAGAAGGCAAAGAGAAGCTGAAAAGATCTGGGAAACATAACAGTGTAAGGTAGGGAAATTTTTTGAACTTCAGTGGGAGAATTGTAGGCAGTAAGAAGCAAATAATCTTTGAGGGCAGCCAGGGTATCTTTTCCGTAGGCAACCGATGCCTCATATACTGAGTCCTGTTATAACTAATCTTTCAACATCTGAGTTACCCTACACCTTTATATTCTACCTTTCCTGGAGATCCCAGAAGGAGATATCTCCTTCTAGCTGAATGTCAAAACAGGAAGCACTTTCTGCTTAAGGAGAACTCTGCTTTCTCTGCTCTAACTTCACTGGTGAAATTCGGTACCTGCCCAATTACGCCTTCTCCTTTTCTTCCACTTTAAACAGCTTTCTTTGCCTTTCTTTCTTAAAGCTTTACCTGCCAAGTAGCTTCAAATTCCCAACTGAAAGCCATATAATTGCTCTCTCTTATTTGCTCTTTGGACTTCTTCCCTTCACCATCTATGCAGTAAGGCTGCCTTGTCTTGCAAAGCAAAATGACCTACCTCACCTTTTTTTGTTTTTGGTTTGGTTTGGTTTTTTGTTCCTTTCTTCCAGTCCATCCTTGGTGTTCTCCAGAGTAGATCCAGCTACCTTTTTTCAATCTCACCAACTTGACAGTATTTTTCAGATCATGTTGCTCTGTGTAAATCTTGCCTTTCTTCATAGCTTTTGACAGTATTGCTTTGGTTACACCTGTTTTTCAGCTTTCACCTATATGTGGGTTTTCTCTTTTTTTCTTGCACCTGTTATTTACACTATTTAATTCTCTCTCACATGCACAGACATAACTGACATGGACCAAAGGACAAATGAGGGTTGCAAAAGCAAAATTACAGTCTAGGGTTTAGAATTTGGGGTTTCTTTGTTTCAGCTTTCTAAACCTTCATACAAACGTTAGCCCTAATAACCACAAAGGGAATTTTTTGTTGCAGATAGGATTATTTTTAATCAGCCTGCTAAACCCTCCTCTTAACAAAATGAGCCAGAGAGAAAATGTGCTCTTTTGTGTCAGTAACTTTGTTGATATCTACCTTTTCTAAAGATTCCTCTTCATAGCCTCTTCCAAACTTTTCTGGCTGTTCATCAGTTGACTCCACTATCACTAGACTAGTTCTCCTTGGCGAGAGGTCATCCTGGTGGAGCTGGGGGTCGTCAGGCTCTTGGACAATGGGAGAATCGCCTCGTTGAGCGGATGACAGGGGCTGTGGGTATGGTTTTTCACACTCTTCCTTTGCTGTGCTGATGTGTTCGGATTCTTCGCTTGCGCTGCCTGCTGCCTTTCCAGTTACTAGTGCTGTAGCCTGCTCTGTCCCTGAAGTTGTGACACTGTGAATTACAAGTTCAAGGAAAGTAACTACAATGCAGTCATTTTTTCTTTCTGTAAATGAAACATCTGTGCACTGACTAAATGGTGTTGTTATGCCTTTTAGCAAAGTCTACAAATTACTGATAGTCTTTGGGAGTTACTGCAGAGCAATCTGGCTAGGAACTCCTCCTATTTTCTTGCCTAAAGAAAACCTCCAAATGAATATCCAAATATGGCACCTGATTCTGCAAGACCTGGTCTTTGTGAAGGATTTATGTGAGCTTGGCTGTCACTTGTGTCCTCAGAAATCTACGGAATATCTGTTACCCTTTTTGGGAAGGAGGCTACAGATGGACGTGAAGCAAACTACTGTCAACATCTCCTCGTTAATTACGAGCTGTACAGCTGAAGGTGACGAGAGACCAACTGCAGGACATACCTTTTATGTGGTGTTCTGGAGTCTTTCCAAACAGCGAGAAATTTAGTAGAGCATCTTACTTTGTTTGTAAGGTTATTTTCACTGAACATTGTTATGATTTATTTTCTGCCACAAACTACAGAAACATATTGTTGCATATATTACAAGTCGTTGTATGCATATAGATAAAACATATATTAAAATATATGTACATACACATTTTTCTGTTGCATACAGGTGAATGATAGTGACGGTAGTCAAGTTCTAAAACTCTCATCTAACAGATTCAGCAGACAACCTAAGTCTGACTCATCTGCTATTTTCCTCATGGCAGCACTTTGAAAGGGTCACTTCTGATTTACACTGGTTGTAAATATCAAGTGTCACTACCTAGAATTTTCTTTTGAGGCTGACTTTTCCCTTTGGTGGATGTGTGTGTGTGTGTGTGTTAAAGATACTGTGTTTGCAAAAATTATATCTTTCACTTCTAAAACTTCTCAGATGTATATAAATGCTGGAATCTATATGGCTTCCTCTCCCATCCTTAAAATTAACTAGGGTAATTAGTAAATTTTAATCATAGGAGTCCCATGAGTAGTTTAAGTAACAGTTATAGAATAACTTGCATGGATAAGTTTTTTTTCTGATGTAAGTTGGGCTTTGACAAGTTGTTGTGCTCCCCCAGCTGTTGTCCCTAAAACAACTGTGTTCCAAAATAAGAAAAGATTTAATTGTTGTATAAATTTAATATGATTGATCCAGCCTTCCCCTTCCCCTTTCATTGGCTATATAAATTATTATATTATTCCTCTTGGTATCTGTTCTTTGTGAGCCACCTAGGATTAGCCGAATTTTCGTCTTAGTTCAAACTAAACATGAAGTACAGTAATTTCCCCTGTCATTGCTACAATTCTTTAGTATTACCAATATTGTTTCAAAAATGTTTGTCTTTGGAATCCTTGTTCTGACAGCACAGTATATATAAAGAGCTTATTAACATTTTTTATCAGCTATCAGTATCTGCAGTTGAGTTGTCTTCTGTAACTTGTCTACTATCTGTAATGCACCCCAACGGTTTTGTTGGACCTAGTTTGCCTGTTCTTTCTGCACAGAACTGTGCTAGTTCTCCAGCTACAAAACACACAATTAAAAATGTATTCTCTGTTCCTCAAAAACATTCATTTTCTCATGCAAATCATTAAGAAGGACTGCTATTTTTGTGTGCGTTGTGCACTCATGTTAAGTCCTCTCTTTCTTCTAGATTCTCATTTCTGTTCTCTACCCTCTCTCCTGTTTGTAAAGTGCATCTTGAGCAAAAGAATCCCCACCAGACCATTTGCGGGACTCTGTATTGCACTATGGCTTTTCTGGGCTGCATCTCAAAATCAAAGCTAATCACTCCCAGGAAAATCACTTCTTTGGAAGGCAATCTTTGATATTTTGCCAGCCCACAGATACCTGCATCTACACAACTTAGAGCTGTCAGTGTAGACAATGACTGGGGAGAAGGGGAAGAAAGAAATATGATCATCTTTGTCACTGTATCAGCCCAAGTGAAATCAGCCCCACCAAAAGCCCCAAATCAGAATTCAAAGTTACCCTGTACAAGTCTTCTAAATTTGTATTTTATCATATGCTGTTACTTTAAGTACTTTTGTCTTGTCAGTGTATAGCCTGTTTCTATTCCTTTGCCATCTGAAATTTGTTTAAAAAAAAAAAATCTACTTGTTGCCAATACATACGAATTTTGCAAGAAATCATTAAGTCGGAAAATTTTTGTCTCAATTCAAAAATCCATCCTAAAGATGAAAAAAGGACCCTCTAGTGTTTACTTACTTTACCACATCAAGTATGGAAAATATACAGTTTGCAAAAATAATTCTACATTATCCCTCTTCTCTTTCATACATACTAGATTAGATTATTACTTTATGTTCATAGTGAAGAACAGACTCTCTCAATCCTTACGGCTTCCTCCATATGGATTAAAAAGTTAAACACATAGTAGGAATTAATAAACTAGCATGCACAATTGGAGGAAAATTATAGCTAGTCCACAGGCTTCAGAGAAAAGCAAAAAATTATCTCATTAAACAGAGGAGGGATAATCTGTTTCACACAGGTTTCATTCTGGTCTTTTGATACTTACAAACATTCATGTTGTGAAGCAGCAGATGGCTTTTCTAACATGTTTTGGGGTTTCCCTGAGAATTCAGCTTGTACTTGTTCCTTATGTGCTTGTCTCAGAAGCTCAGCCATTGATATTTCTGCTTCACTCCTGGGAGTACTGTCCTGAAAAGGAGAACTGACAGAAACGTCTTCCTCAGAGACAATAGGAGGGTGTTCAGATGGGTCACCGTCTTTAGATAGTCCATATTCATCTTCTTTCTTATGCCTTGGACTGTACAGTTCTTCTTGTAACGCAGAAAACCCTTTAAAAACAGAGGGGAAAAAAAGAGAAGTGTCATTACAAGTCTCACTTGAATGCACTTACTCTTCATTCTCCATGTGTGTTTAAAATCCTAGAAGGAAAAAATTACCTCTCTCTGATAGGGGTAGGTTCTAGCGACGTTTTTTTTTTCCCCTCCTTTTTTATGTAGCTCCTTACAGAGAAAGTAACTACGCAAGTATGGACAAAGAAATTGTCATACAGGCCTACATACAAGGACTAGCTAATTTATATGCTTCAAAGAAAATTAAAAGAATCCCCTTTTGCGGAACTGGAAAAAGCCATATCACAAAAGGTTTCATTATAGATTCAAACAGTTAGCGACAAACACATTCCTAAAGCATGTGTTCTAATCCTGCAGAAAACATAAAACAAGTGCATTTCTACTCAATAGGCTACAGATCACAAACTTGGACTTTCGTTTTTCTTTACTAGCCACGTTCACTGGGAACCTATTGAACTTGGAAGAATAGCTTGAGGAAAAAATGTAACTATTTATATTGAATTGGAGCAGACTATAGTGGTTAATGGTCTTAAACTAATCAGTTATTATATTAGAATGCTAATTAAAGCAAACATGACTTTCTATTCCTAAATCATCTTAAAGGTGGGAAGTTTGTTGCCATTTAATATCTTACTGGGATAATAATTCAATATTCAATTAAGGATGCAAAAGTAAGAGGAGATAAAGAGAATTCTCTTTAACATAATTTGGAGGTGTTAGTTTAAAGTACAATTGTTGAGCTAATCTACTGAACTTTTCCATTTAAGAAATTCAACAGCATCATAGCAGAATTACAAGTTACATCATAGATACTTGAACGCAAAAGTTCTTCCAAAGCCTTGAACAGTTGGGTGTTTTCGGAAACTATCTTTTTACAAATTTTGATCAAATCATAATGCAACCTTGTGAACTGTTACAAAAGCATTCGTATAAGCAAAAAATAGACTGGGCATAGGTATTTGCAGTGATTTCCGAAAACATTCCTTTATTTGCATTGTAAGAATTGACTAATGCAGGTATCTTATACATGGTTAAACGGTGACCTGTGCAACATCACATTTGTATTGATTCTTCTTATCTGTGCTTTCAAAATTAGAATCAGTCATAAGAGTTAACAGATTAGCCTGGCCGAACATTTCAGTGGTCACGTGAGATAACTTTGGTAGTGTGTGGCTTTGTGTCAGATGTTTACCTTCACTGTGGTCCAATCCTATTGTCTGTTCAATTTCTGCATACGTGCGAGTGCCGTGGACCTGCATGGAGTCTATGCCGCTGGTCTCCATTAGATGAACAATATCCATTCGGTTGATTTTTGTAAGACACTGGGTAAGATTCGTATCTGTGGCATTAGAACGACACCATGTAGCTGAGTTTAGAATTTCACATGCTCTCTTCCCTCTATTTTCCACATCAAGGAAATATAGTGGATACTCAGCAATATAATATCATATATAAAATACACATGTATTTAGAAGCAGTGCTATGTAAATTCTAAAATTACCTGAAGGGCTGCATAAAAGAATTACCACTTGTTCCCCCCCACCCCCCGCTAGAAATTTGGTTTTATTCCGCCAAACATTTTTTTTCTCATTTAGGAAAAAGAGGCCTGTTTTTCCACTCTTACTTTGCTGTAAAATGTTTTGCTTTTTCCCTCCAAATAAGCAAGACAGATTAAACAATTTTCTCTAACACAAAATCTTAGGATATGCCATGTTATACAGACCAGCTTTAAAAAATTAAGCACATCTATACTCATTCCTTCTGTTGCCTACATTTTACCCATAATTTCTTTTTGCGACTGTAACACACACCTATCACCTCAGCTTGCAAGTAGAAGGCAATGCAAATATACTATAACCAGAAACAAACCTGTTGCATGTTTCCCATCCCTTTCAAGCCAGTATTTCAGGAGTGCATGGCTCTGGTCTTGAAGTGAATTAGGATTTTCAATTCGGATCTGGTGGATTTGCTCTTCTGTGAAATCCAGCTCTCTTGCTAACTCTGAAAGAGAGTTCCAGTTCTGTGAAGATGGCTGTTTCATTTTGCTTTGTTTTTTCCTTACATCTATTTATTTAATGGCTGGCAGCAGCAAAGTAGAAAACAAACCTTTTCCGAAACCAAATTTTCTTTGCTCCTATGTATCTTGTGTAGTATTTGGAGACACTATTAAACAACAACAACAATTCTCATGAGAGAATTGTGTTAGAAGTGATGGATCTGTGTGAGCTTTTATGTGTACCAAGGGACAACCCTATGACAAAATTTAGTAGTAACAAGTTATCAAATAGAAAGCAGTGGCAGAATTAATATATGAGCAGATAAAAACATTTCTAGCTACAGAACACCACGTTCACCAAACTCTATCCCCTGGAATGTTGATTATTTCAGAAACTTTGTTCAAAATCTAATGAAAGAATTACATTTAAATAATGGCATATTCTAGGGTTAGATTAAAGCACAACTGTACTACTCCACTGGACTAGCTTCATTAAAAGAAATGTCTATGAATTACAGTCGAAAATGAAAAAAATAAAAACGTGAACTAAGAATAACTGATGTCTTTCTGATGTAGCATAAGCTCAGACCATAGTCTAGAAAAGAAAAATGGCTTTACTATCTATAATCCCCCTATTATATTCAGAATCAGGAAGAGCTTCCTTGCTGTCCTCGCACTAAGGTGTGACTGTTCAAACAGGCCATCAGATGAGTTACAGCCATGGAGAAACTGTAGATTCCAATTGCTATTCCTGGCCTCCATATTTCTGCTTCTCTCAGAAGGAAGGAAGGATTCATACTTTACTCTCTTCTCATTATTATAGGGGCAAGGTCTTGATGCTGGAAGGGTCCTATGTTTTAACAGTCAGGGAGGCCCTAAACCCCAAGTCTCAGATAGCCTTATTTCCAAGCTGTTTTGTAGACTAGCGCAACTATAAACTTGAACAGATATACAGTAAGTATATATTAGATTTGAATCTTAGGTAAGGAAAGGAAGTCTGAACAAAAAGTAACCTCAATTTTATCCCTCAAAGTAAAATTTGACACACTGATCTTTATCATTATACAAGACGGGGATATTTATGCAGATGTTTCGTTATTCTGCCATCTCTAGAATACTATGAAACATTAATAGCAAAACTGTAATTAATGTCTATTTTGATGAACGTCCATGTCTTCTGGTTTGATTTTCAGGACTTTATATTTACATATACACACACAAAATTTGAACGGATTCCTGCCTTTGGCCAGCTCTAATTGTTATCTGTTATATGCACAGGTCCAAGTCCTACTGACTTCAAAAGAATTCCGGAATGAGTGACATATGCTTCCAGTCTTCTCTATGGAAGTAGAGGACAGAAAAGGAAGGGGTGAGTAACGTAAATAAAAACGTCAGTGATGGTTTGCATATACACTGAAGATGCTTATAAAAACAGTATAGAAGCCAGCTGTCATTATCAGAGACTTAATATTTTTCTCTGGTATACAACTCTTTCTTTAACCCTGCTTATTTTCAAGAGTCTCCTACTGGCTCTAGAGATACAAAATAAGATTTGCTTGAAAATTTTTTTTATAAGGACTGTGATTGAAAATAGTTGAAGATTGTTCCCTGAATTCATAGGTAAATTGCTAGAGACCTGAGAAGGCTAAGCTTATATGGTACACAGCGTCAGGAAAAATACTCCAGAAATATTAACCGGCATGATGATTTTTTTGTTGGATTGAAGAGTTTAACACACAAGTGCAGAGATTTCTGCAGAGCTCTTTTTCTTTGTAAACACTTTTCGGCTGCTTTTCAGTGACAGAGATCTGCATTTCATTCTGTGTCACTTTGGCTTGTCCCCAGTAATGTTAACTGCCTTGGATGTAACCAGTCTGCAATATTCAAGTGATTGTTACAAATATGACCCTTTTCACCCGTTTTCCCTTCACTGGGTTCTGTAGAAAAGGAGCTGATCTCATCTATCCCTGTAGTGGCCTCTAAGATCAGGATTTGCATCGCACAGCTGACGTTTATTCATGTATTCATCGATCTTCCACCCAGAGTTGTGGCATTTTGCAAGAAAGAGTAGGTGATGTATGCCAGCTCGTTATTACTCTCATCCTAGTAGGTTTCCCTCTGGTGATGACACAGCAGGTGCAGAATCTCTTCCCGTTCTTACTTAAGAGGATAGAGAAATCTAAGTAGCCTGAAGACAATCTAGTTTCTATAAGCTACTGAAATATTTCTGTCAGCCTTCTTCAGATAATAAGAAAGTCATCTGAAAGCAACATGAAAACATCCAGGAATGCTCCCTCATGTTTATTTCTAGAGTAGATGACATGCATTTTACCTGTCCAGCTGAATCCAAGATGATCAGCAATGTGGGCCAGTCTTTCCTCTGTCCTTTCCTGATCATCCTGTTGATCTAAAGGTCAAAGAGAACACCCACATGTTGCCTTAACAAGTTAAAAGAAATTACATCAGTGACAAAGTCCAAGAAAGGAAAGCGCTCTTTTTCTCACTGCTGTAATTTACCTTATGCGGACAAGCTATTACAACTGGGTACCTAAAAGTGAGGGTTGTAGCTCTTCAAAAAAACCCCAAAAACAACAACAAAAAAACCCTGCTTGATTTTTCAAAAGCACAGAGCTATCTGCATTTTCCATTTGAAAATGAGGCTTTCATGTAGTCTTCTACACAAAGATGCAAGTGCCTACTATGCCTGTTCTGGCCATGAACTTTATTCTAAAGTTTCATTATAACATTAAGCTGAAGATTTTTACAAAGTCAAGAGCCATAAATTTCCATGCCTCCTTAGTAAAAGCCAGGGTTGAAAAATTCATCTTGACTGGTGGTTCTAATTATATTCTTTCTATGGTAGGGAAAGTTTTGTTCAAACATTCCATATGTCATTTCATATAATGATTTGTTATTTAAGATTTTATTATTTTAAATGCCTTTGAATCTTTCAACTGGGCAGTGATACAAAAAATACTTACAAAGAAGGCAAGGAAAAATCAGATGGTCGTTTGCCAGTCTTCACTTCATTTAATAGTGAGACTGACTGTTCCTCCCATACCTAAAGCTACTTTGAGAACAGCAGAATTTGAGTTTTGGTTTTCCCTGAATGGAAAAAACTCAAATTCACAGAAGTTGGTTATGGTTAACGATATAGGCGTGTTTCATTTTAGCTACTGGATTTCTTTGGTGGCTGTTCAGTAGCAGTATACAAGCAGGTGAGGAGAAAGCCAACCAAAACACCAAACAACTTGTAGTATATTAAGTTATGGGTGACACAGAATTTTCTTGAGAAGTAGGTAGTAAAAAAAGAAACAAGAACAACTTAATTGTTTAAAACTTCTATAATTTCTTTGTATCAAAGTTCAAAAGAAAATGGATTTGCCTGTCCCAGTTTCAATCAATGCCAAAATACTTATTACTAATAAAAATTAACAGGGCCAGGGAAAACCAGAAGTCAAAATGTGCGTGACCTGAAGCATCAGTTAAATGATAAAATAATACATATTTTTTAGAAGTGTTTTTTGTTTATTAAGCTAACACTTCCCATAAGCATTCAGGGTTTGCAATCTTGAGATTGTTTCACAGACAAGAAAAATACAAAGAACACAGAACGAACAGTTCATAAGGGAAAAAAAAACACAACCACAAAAAGCTTAAAGAAAATGACACACATGTATTTACGAGCATACACACACACACACACACCAAACAAAAACAAACAAAAACAAAAAATTTAATTCATGACATGCGTTGCACAGGGAATCCCAGTCGTGGGCAAATACCTTCAGCATGGTCATGGACATTTTCATCAGGGATACGTTCAATCTGAGTCTCTACAGACTCATCCCAAATGGGTCTGGTGTCAAAGATGTCTTCAGGAACTGACTGCTGAGTCTCACTGGATGGCCCATTTTCAATAACTGAAACTTCTAGGGCACTACTACTTTCATCATCTGAGACTAACTCTTGTTCTCTCTCTGACTGCGTGAGTCTTTCCACTAACTTAGAAGCTTCATCACTAATTTCTTCAAAGAATTCTATGGAGTTTTTGTAAAGGTCAAAAAAATGTTCCTTACTTTCTTTTGTGGGACTAGAAGCACTGCGGGAAGCTGTAGTGCTCCTGCTTTTAACTGGCAACCGTGATGAAAATACCTTGAGTCTTGCTGTTGTTGCCTCATCTGAGTCTAGCTCAAGCTTCGTCTCTCTCTCCCTCTCCCTGGTCTCTGCTTCTGCCTCTGCATAACTCCTAGCTTTTACTGATCGCTTAGTCTTTGGGTCCATGGGAATACTCGCATCAGACTCAGATTTACTTCGGTTATCCTGTTTCATAGGTAGTTTGCTTGTCATGTCAAGAGCTTTGGGTGAGTCTAGCTTGCGGACAGATGCGTCTGTGTATGTATATTGTTGTTCAGCTCTTTGGAAAGCTGCTTTGACAGGAATTTTAGACTTTGGTTTTGCTTGGTCATCCTTTGCTTCACACTGCAGATTGTCTAGGAAGCCATCTGTGGGAAGGTTCTCATTTTCTGATTGTTGCAATGATTGTGATACAGCCGCAGCAGCTGTTCTTACAGGAATTTTGGATTTACTTTCACAAGAAGGCACTCTCTCCATAAGAGCAGTAGGGATTTCAATTACGGATCTCTGTTCCTCTGGTGAAGAGTCAGGGGACTCATCATCCTGTTCAGAACAAACAAATCTAGTGACTTTGGGAAAATCTAACTCATCTTCTATGACAGACTGCTCAGGAGAGGTAAGGCAAGGCACCTGACTGCTATCAACCTTATCAGTCTCCATTCTGGAGAGGGGCTCAGCTTCAGAGGCAGCAGTCTCTTTCTTTGGTGATTTTGAAGAAGCTGAAATACCCATTTTAATTGGAATTCTGGATTTAAGCTCTGCTTTTGTGGTGCCTATACTGACACCTACACTGGTCATTTCTTCTGACTTATCACTAGACTCGGATGCTGGGGGTGAAGTTTCCAGTGCATCTTTTTCTTGTATATCTGAGTCTTCTAATTCTGAAAGTGAAAATGGAGCTGGAGAACTCTTCAGCTCAGAATATTCCACCTCTGCTGCTTCTTTCATTTCTTCAGATAAAGAAACCTCTTCCTGAGGCTGCTGCCCCATTTGGAAGAAGTGAAAGCTTTCATCTGGATAGTTCCTTTTGGTCATGTCAATGGCTCCACTTCGAGTCATTTCAAACAGCTTTCCTTCCTGAAAAAGGAAAGGATTTTGTTCACTAATTGGTGTCCCTTCTTCAGTGGGTGTTCTGGCCGGAGTGGTATCAGGCGTTGTGCCTTGGGATCGCCTGTCTACCATCAACCCAAATATTTTTTGTTCCTCCTCTTTCACTCGAGCCTCAAAGGCTTCATCATCTTCACGTATTTCACTCCACATGTCAGAATCCACATCAGTTTTTGTGATGACAACCTGACTGATCAATTTATCTGTTTCGGCTCTTATATCCTCATGGGTGGATTCAGCTAATTTTGTGGAATCTGAGGCTGAAGACGCTAGTGATGTTTTCTGAAATACATCCTCTTGTTTTACCTCTGTTCCCATACATACTTCCTCTGAAGATTGATTTTCACTGCTTGTGTCTCTGCTGAGCAAAGCTCCACCAGTGTGATCTTTTCCTCCTTCAGAAGGATAGTCTTCCCCGGATAGCAGACTTTTATCACACCCTACATGACTTTCAGAGGCAGTAAAAAATTGTTCAGAAGAGACATTTTCATAAGGGCTTACTAAAGGAGGAGCACTACTTTCAGCAGCATCTACTACACAGCTTTCAAGTTCCACTGTTTTAGTGGCAAGAGATGGATACTCTGTTAAGGGTTTCTCAGTATGAATAGCTCTTTGAGATGTTTCAAAACCTATATCTGCTTTTCCCAAATCACTTCCCAAAGCAGCATGGTCAGTGTTATCATCTTCAGTCAGTTTGCCATCTTGTGGTACAGAGTACTCAGCGGTACTGTGTCCACAAGAACCATCATCTGCTTCCTCTGACACAGACCCTGTACCAATGAGGTCTGTTTGTTTTAGCAATCCAGTGGTTTTGACATCTTTTTCAGTAGTATCATATTGCTGTAGTGTTAGTGAAGACTCAACGTGAACTTCTTTTTGAGAACTGTCACCAAGGGAATGACACAAAGTGCCCTCAAAGTGTGTGACTGGGGCACTGGGGCTAGCTGTCTCTCTCTCATCTGTACTATCGTATTTTGATTCATCAGCTTCTGCTGATACACAGCCATCAGAATGACAAATGCCTGATTCCCTTGTGGAAGCCTTACAGCTTCCCCCAAGGAGAAGCTGTTCCTCTTTGTCATCTTCTACTGGCTTATCCTGTTCTGCTTTAACCTCACCTCTCCTCAAAGAACATTGCTTTGAATCAATGGGTTGAAAACCTGCTTCTTCAGGGCTAGAACTGGAATCAATACTGGATGGTAATGGTGAAGGTGGCTGCACTCGGATCACAGGCTCCATTAAGAGGCCTGAGTCAGCTTCTTTTTTTAGCTGAGTCAGCTCTGGCTCACTGGCTGAAGAGGAAGAACTTTTTCTAGATTCAGCTGCAGACATCACCACTGTAGGTGTGTCTTTTCCTTCTATAGCTGTCGACTCTGGTGCTTCAACTTCACACGTAGCTTCTGAATCAGCACCTTCAGAAGATTCGTCTTGCTTACAATCCTTTTTGTAATCTCTCTTCTGCTTTGCTTCTTGTTCTAGTTCATCAAACGTTTTGATTTTGGTCACCATTTTAAACATCTCCTCTTCTGGGGTGAATCTTTTCTTTGTCTCACTTTCTGAATCATCCTCTGGTTCTTCACTGACTTCAGGGATCATGGCTGACTTTGATATGTTTGACAATGCCTGCGAATCTGCTGTTTTAGGTGTGATTTCATAGCTAATTTCTTCAGAACTAGGAGTTTCAGGTGAAAGAGGACTTTTCCCTGAACTCTCCATGAGGGATGTTTGCTCTAGGCTGTCATCATCAGCACTTCCCTCAGGGTCACGGAGAATCCTGGAGCGCACCGACGCCAGCTCTGGGCAGGTTTCTGCTTTGCTAAGAACAGACTGAAGAGGACCCTGCCCCAGAATACCAGCTTTCACTTTTTGTTCTACAGGGCTACTTTCAAGAGAATCGCGGCAGGGAGACTCTTTCATAGGACTGGGCTCCAACGAATCAGGCGTTTTGTGTGATGAGTTATCTTCTAGCACTGGGCTTGCTTCCAGTGAGTCTTTATGACTTATAGCCAAAGAGTCATCTGCAACTGGGCTAAAGCTTTCACTATCATGGCTAGCAAGTGAAAGTTCCAATTTCTGGGGACTTCTACCAACAACACGGCGTTCACAGGTTATATCTTTTTCTTTCTCTAAAGCAGTGTCATGTGTTTCTGAAGACTTAGTTAAATGTGCAGTGGTTCTGGATTCTTTATCCCTGCTAATATCTTTCATAATGGAAGCTGAGCTACTTTCTTTATCAGCCTCTTCTTCAGAGGCTGTAGGTACAAGCTCTTCTGATACCTGGTCAGATTGAGACTTACTAGTCTCAGTAACAGCATCTAGCTGTTTTTCAGTAATACCTTTTTCATCTTCCTTTGGAGAGAGTTCCTTCGGAGAACTTGTTTCTGCTGTTGTGTGTGCTCTAGCTGCTCCGTTAGCTTCTTCAATTTGCCCATCAGTTTTCTTTGGTGAGAAGGAAAGGCTTTCAGGGCTCGTTTCTGGAGTCTCTGCCAGACCCTCATGCTTATAACTTTCCTCAGAGCTGATCTGAGGGGTTCCATCAAGCAGGCTACCTGGAGAATCTGCAACACCTTCATGTTTAAGGCTCTCTGAGCTCCCATCAAAAGCAGCACTTTGCAGAGACAGAGCAGGAAGGAATCCGTCTTTCACATACTCTGTTGGGAAAGCAACATCGAATGGACTGGTCAGCACTTGCTCTAAGTGAAGCTCTCCCTCCTCTGTGACTGAAAGGTGTCGGAACTGTTGGTATTTGTCATTATCCTCAAGCTCTTCTTTAATGACATCAGAAAAGTCTGTTGAGGTTTTTCTGTCAGGGCTGATCTGGAAGTCAGTATCTCCCTGGTCATCAGAAACCTTGCCCTTCACAAGTGCTGTACCTTTGGCACTTTCATCACCAAATACTGGAGAGACAGGTCCAGTTGTTTCACAGCTCTGCTCTTTTACCTGCTCTTTACTTACAGCTTGCTTGCCAGTGGTAGCAGTAGAAGTTTGCATTCTTCCTTTTTTTGGTTGTGGCTCTTTCTCTGCTTTTAGTATCCCGCTTTGTTTCTCCTTCTGTTTGTCTGTCTTGTGGCTTAATACTCGCCTCGTTTCACTCTGTGAAGAAATAGTTTTTCTCCGTGTTGGTTCCTTCTCAGGGAGCTGTTGCTTTTGTTTGACAGATTTGTGCTCAAACAGTCCAGATATGTTCTTGGATGGATCTTGGCCTGATTGGAAGGCTTTCATCAGTTCACGAACTGACATGGTCTCTTCAAGTCTTTCTGTCTTAGAAGAAGGTGAAACAGGCGGTTGTGCTTTGTGCACTACTGTTTTTTTAACTTGTCCTGGTCTTTTAGGACCCTTTTCAGCAGTGCCTTCTCTTGTTTGAATTCTGACAGGCAGTTTTGAACGTATTTTTTGTTCATCTTCCACTCTTTTCTGAAGGGCTTTAACTTTGTCTTTTATTGAGCCAATAGGAGTTTCCTCTATGACCGGGGATACAGCGCTAGCCTCAGGAGCAGCTGTTGGGGTTAAGCCAGGTTCCTCATCGAGCGACTCATCTGAACTGAACTTTGTTAGTCCTGGTTGTTCTTCACTGCTGTGCATCTTGCCTTCCTTTTGCTTGTCTCTTAATTTCCTCCTAACTGGTTTTTTAATTTCTAAGGCTGGCTTCTGTTGCTCCTGTGGACTTAGTGTTTCAGTTTTTGGAGATTCCTGTCCCTCTTTTTCAGAATCCCTGCTTATTACTACAGCTTCAAATCTCTCTTCTACTAAGTCTTCTTGTAAGGCTGGTGGCTGTACCTCATGAAGAGAAACGTATGTTTTTAAATCCTCTGTAACGTGATCTACCCTTCCTGTCACGTCTGTCTTCATTTCAGTTGTCCCTTTGTCTATCCTGACTTCTACGCTGGTAGGTTCAGTGACTTCTAAAGGAGCATTTCTTCTAGCCTCTTCAATTTCTTCATCACTAATAATGACCCATTCTTCCTCTACAAATTCCTGTTTGGAAAGGGACTTCTGCAAAACATGTTCTTCTGTGGTATAGGATCCACCTCTCAGAATTTCATTTACTTTTTCTAAGTCTTCTTTCACCCTTTCAACTATTTCAAAAGGTTCTCCTGGCTCTTCTTCAGTGGGTTTTCCGAGATCTTTCACCTTAATGGAGCCTGATTTATCAGAAGGGTCAGTTGTCAAGATGGCAGTCATTTTGATCAAATCTTGTTTCATCTCAGAAACTTCAGACAACAGATCTGGACTGGCTAGTACAGGGACTTCATTAACCAGATGGCTTTTCAGGATAGATGTTTCTGTAGATTCAGTCTCGTCATCTTTGATGCGAATGAAAAACATTGAAAGTAAAATGGAAATCAAAAATAGAGATTGAAAAATGTAATTAGGACTGAAAATGAGAGTCTTTGGTTGCAGTGGTGGGAAGGTCAACAAAATGGGCCAGGAATGGTGGATCCACAAGATCTGAGGGTACAAGAGCAAAGCAAAGCTAACGGGGGAAAAAAAAAAAAACTGAAAAGGAAAATGGCAGGAAATAACTTGCTTAACTTTACCAATATAGCACAACCACACATACATTATCGAAGCTGTAACAAACCAAATCAGGACACTATAAAAAAAAAACAACAACAACAGCAGCAGAAATTAAAATTAAACACAGAAAAAACACAGTGAAGTTACACAAAGATAGGCATCTCAAGATTGTTCAGATGTTACAGATCAATGTTCAAATAAAAATAAACAAGAAAAAAGGGGGAAAAGCATTAGAACTGATTGAAAGTCGATTTCCTCTAAGAGAAAGCCAGTGTTAGCAAACTGTCAGAATAACACTGAGTTAACATTTTGTTTCTTAATGATCAAAATAAAAAGTTGCAATTCTGCAATAATCTAAAATATTATCAAATATGTAGAGATCTGAATCAGCTGCAAACCGGCATTTCATCTAAGGGGATTTCACACCTAAACAATGAAACAAACATTCTTTTGTTTTAAGAGGCATGGTCCTTTCCTTGGAACATCCTCATTGACAGATAATGAATTGACTGAGGAAAGAGAAGACGAAGAAGATAATAAGAAGATAAGAGATAATAAGAAAAAACTGTGAATAACTTAGAAGTGATTTCGAAATTTTAAAAATGTAATGTATGGCAACCAAAAATCAGAGACATTCACACTAGACACATACATACAATTTATGTAAGGCAAGTTATTTCCATGCAAAGCAAAGGTGTTGCAAACATTGCTGGGTATGTAGCTTCAATTAAAAAGTACTAGCTGTAAAAATTAATTTTATAAATTAAAGATACAGGAAAGCCTTGCAAAACAGACTGTGGTGAAATATTTGTCTAATTTCTGCAATCCATATACAGCAAAATGGATTTTGGCAGGTCCTGTTATGAAATAACTACCTATTGGAAATACTTAATTTCAGGAAGGACTATTAGAAAACTTATGTCCAGCAGAACGAAATTTTGGAGGACTGAAACAAGTTATGAACAGAATGCAATGCCTAGTAATTATATGTACTTGATACATTTTTGCATTGCAATCTACAAGTCAAAGTAGTAACACTACTAAGGTGTGGCTAGGCAATAAATAATTACCTGTATTTCTTTGTAATAAAAAAATATCCAATTCATTCACTATTCTCTTGCATTTAAAAAATGGTAAATGTTTTTGCTGTACATTAGTTAGTTATAACCAGATTGCCGGTGGTGATTTTGATGCTGAAAAACAAGGCAATTGCTCAGGATTCTCCTATTTTTAATGTGAAGTATTTAGTGCATAATGAAATGCTACCTAGGAACATAATATATATTTTCATAAATATTAAACAGATCACCATCTCTCTGGCAAGAGCTAGTTAATGAGCCCAAAGCAAAGAAGCTCCAGTGGGAAGAAACTGCCCAAATGGCGTAAAGCTGGTAGTGAGAATGCTTGCTGGGGCTCTCTGGGGCCTAGCAGAAAGAGGAAGTGGTAGTAAAACAACGTAGAGGGAGCGCAAATATTTGTTTCTGAGTATAATTCTTCATATGAAGTAGAACAGCTCAAGTGGAAGATGTTAAGAAAATCCCTCACTTATTTTAGGGCGTTCTGGATGTTTTGTTGCTCGCTCACGCTCTGATTTTATCACTTGTTGCTTTTGTCAATGGGAAACTATTCTAGACTCAGTAGAGCAGATCTGGAAACTAAGTACCTCCTATCTCCAGTAAGTGCCCTAACTACTAAGCTTTTCTGGGCCGTGTTTGCTGCTTTCTCACACACACTTGCACTCTTTCTTTTGGATTCTTCTCATGAGAGTTATCTGCCTGTATTAACTCAGTCTTCACCAGGCCAGGAAGGAACCACCTCTATGGCCAAGTGGTAGCGTCTCTAACCCACTTTTCAGAAACACCAGTTCTCATCTTCTCATTCTAATCTGGCTGAGACGTTTACCTTCTATCCAACACGGTGCATTTGACAGTATTTTGACAAGGGTAAGATTTTCTATGTTGACTCATGGAGCCAATTCTCTTCATATAAGGAATTATTCCCAAAGCACAGACAGGCACCACATATGAGTCCTTGTCACTACTGAACAACTAGGCAAAAAATTATGTCACTTGTACATTGTCTCTTTGCAATTAAGAGTTAGTTAAACAGGAGACCATCAGCGGAAGCCTAAGAGAAATGCACTTTCTGAAAAGAAGCTGCTTGGTTGTAAGTATATTTTCTAGCAATCGGGATATCAAGATGTGAGCTTCCTCAGTGGTCTTTAAGCAGGCACCTGTTGGTTTCTTTCATGTTTGTTAGTTATGCTTTTTAAGGATTTCTGGGAATAATGTCTCTTACTCTTCTGCTGCAGCTGTTTTTATCTGGTATTAACTAATTCTCCATTAAGCCAAAGAGAAAACTTGCAAAACTAAATTGCTATCTGGTTAGTAGTTTCATTCATCTAGTGTAAGCATTACCAAAAGTTCTAGCGCTGTGCTCTGATAAATTCAGACAAGCCTGTGACAGCCACAACTGAGCAATGTGCAATGTCAACCAAACAGGCATGTGGCCACCTTCCTTGGGGCTGATGCACTGCATGGGATAAGTAATTATTTGGTATGGGGAGCACTCAAGCCCTTTTTCACCTCTATGATTATTTTTCTGTTGAATTCACCTCCCATCTCCCGTGGCCAAGATGAGTCATAGGACAACTTAAATTCCATTCTGTTGACTATACTATGGTGTTTCTTTTCTGTCTTGATGAAACTGGTCCTCCTGGTATAAATAATAATGAATTAGAGCAAAAAATGTGATACTATCTTTAATTTTGGAGAGTCTTAATCCCCACGAGGTTATTAGCTATTTGTCAAGCCCATCCCTTTTATTCTCTTTAGTTGAAGCATTTCTACTCTAGACAAAGGAGGTTACAAGGGAATGGCAATCCATTGGATCTTCAGGATCTTAGTGCTACTGTCTTTCCATTTATAACTGGTATGTAGTACATCAGGAATAAATAAACCTCAGAATGCAATGTAGAAAAAAAAGCAAGAAATTGCACTTGTTTTTAAAAGGGAAACAAGACAGAAGTCATTATTTTCGTAAACAGATTTAAGAAAATAAATTACTGTATTTGAAAACAGCTATTCTTAGAGATGCTCTTCAGATTGAACAGATATTTGTTTGACTTGCATCTTCGTTAAAGATAATCTTTGCAACTGCGAACCACTCACCTTCATTTTCTAATAATAATTGCCTGATTCTGTATACCCAGTGAGTATCTACACCAAGCCTAACATCTCTCATATTTCACCACAGTAAGGGGCAGAGGGAGGGGGGAAAGGGAATGAAACAGTCTGATTACTTTGGACAGTATCACTTTTTTGCATGCTTGTATTTCATCAGTTTAAAGTAATAAATTGGAATATTACTTTTGCTTTAATTAAAAAATGATACTGTCATTCATCTCAAATATGAGGCAACAATGTGTGTCAACAAATGGACAAAACAAAAAATGGAAGGATGAGTATTCATACAAGCAAAGTAGCAATAGCGGGATCACTAGGGATGTCAAAGAAAAGTGAATGCTTAGATGAACTGTTTTAAAATGTATTACTTGTTAATTTATACATTAATATGTATTTAACTGGATAGCTGCTTTGGTATTAGTGTTTCTGTTACATTTTTAAAGTATTAATGTTATTAGCAACAGCTGTTAAAGTTTAGCTCTCTTTCATGCTTATCTTTATTCTTAACCAGCTTTCATACAAATTGCATTATAACATTTTCAAAAGAAATCTTACTTTTTTCTGAAGTCGCATCAACCTGCAAGAGAAAAAGCAAAAAATGAAAAAAGGTGCAATAGTGTCAATATATATAAAGTAACATAGGTTGGGTTAAATCCACTAGATGCATGAAGAGACACAGATCCACTGACTTAAAGTGAACCAAGAGTGTATGTAAGGTAACGGTAAGCCTGGCTTAACTTATTTAGCACTTCTAAAAATGGAAAAGCAGTTACTTTGCTACAGTTATAATCAAATGTAGACACAAAATGCTGCAATGTAGCTTTTGTAAATGGTACTGGCAGTATAGAGGATCATAGATTTTTGCATTACGGGGAATGCTGTTGCACTGTTCTGAGTTTGTTTATTTCTCATCTAAAGCAAAAAAGTCCAATATGGTCATCTGAAGGCATATGCCCATCTGTATGGCAACCAGTATACTGATTCCCCATTTCTTTGTACACATTCATTCTGAGCGCTCACAGTTTGATTTTTCCCCTCTATATTTCTGTGCAAATCAAAACCATGTGCAGAAATGACTGATGACTCACTATTGCCTAAGGCAGAGGACTGGGGCTAGGATTTGACTCTACTAATATCTACTGATACTGAATGGCAGCTGCAATGGCCATAAGAGGACATCTTTTTGATTCATGGTGTACTTGAGTACAGATAAAAGGAGTCCTACAATTTTACTGTTAGTCAAAAGACAACAGTCTCTGCCAAAAAATATCAAAAAAGCAATGTCAAGAAGACTAAGGAAATTTAAGAAGCAAATTTTTGAAGTTGCCATGTATTTTGACTCTTTTTTTCAGTTCTGCTAGCACAATCTCTTGTCCACACAAGCAAGACTTTGCATGTATAAATCTGGATATGCAGAAGTATGCAAAGTTAGAAGTATAATGAATATTTAATTTCAAACTTGTGGTGGTAGGATGACTGTGAGGAATGGAAGTCAGTTATACAGTACTGTTGAAACAACATACAATCTTGCTAAAGCCCCACAGATGATCTTTACTGAGTGTTGAAAGTCCACTTTTGCTTGTAAGTATTCTGTATAAAGATAAACACAATATATTATCTCAAAGAAAATGTTACTAATTCTTGTAGTGAAAATGAGTAAAAATAAGTCATTGGCAAGACTCGCACGTTCATACATGCCTGGTAATCATTTAGGCTCATATTACTAAATTTTGCACAGCTAAGTGTGTATTAGAGATCAATTTTAATATCCCTGTTTGCCTTCACAACGATCATAAGAACTGCTCTGATGCACAGGATCTCTAGATTATTTTACTTCCTCTTAATTTCCTCCAGAACAATCTGGTATTATGTCAGTATAATAATTAATATTATTGATTTAAATGAAGACTCATTGAAAATGCAAGTGTATTTTAGACATCAACATGCTTGTGTTTTATGTTCTTATATAAAAATGTAAGAATTTGTAACTGTTTGGAAAAATTGTTTTCCAATATTCTTTGCTTGTATAAAGCACAGTGTTGGTTAGAAGCAGCGCTGGGGGACCTGCCTGGAAATATGGAAACAAGCATTATAGATGCTGAAAGAATTAGTTTTGTGCTTCCAGTATGAAGCTGATTGATCATGTGATAAGAAATGTTATCTTCTTAACGCATATAAGGGAAACTACAGATACCAGTTTAAAAAAAATGTTCCAGATCCACAGCTAATAACATTTTTTCCACAGAAGGTCAGCTCCTGCTTGAATGTATTAACACCTTTGAAACATGTTTTCACTTGACAGTGTCTAAGTGCTGAAAATCTTTCAGCATTGAAATAAGAGTGAACACTTCTGGTTGCAGATTCCTCACAACATTGGGGAAGTGGCTGCTGGATGCAATTGTTGCGTTTAGGTATGTTCCTCTGCCTCCATCCCACTCCTAGGAGAGGAAGAGTTCAGGCTGTGCTTAGGGATGTTAATACAACATATACCATGCCAATGATCCATTGGCTCAGAATGCAGTCTAGTAGCAACCCTGCAGGATTTTTAGGACTCAGGGCATCCTCAGCATGAGAAAATCAGTGTCATCTCCCCTTTTTTGTGCTGAGTTTTTTTTTTCAATACAAATGAAAGAAATGCACTTGTATGGTTCATTCTTGAGCAAAGTAATTTTTAAGTTATTAAAAAACTGTTTTGAAAGCAAAGTATACTATTATACACCTCCAGAATCAATGCACCCTGGATCAGGTAAAGTTTAACTTCGGGAAAGTTAAACTCAGTAAATTGCAAAAGTGGGCCTCTGCAAGATGATGCTTTTAACTATACTCTGCTTCATCATTTTTGTACCATGGAGCTAATCATCAATATGCCTGTTCCACTACAGATTTAATCTTTCGAGCTGCATCTTCTAGCTATATTTAAGTAGTATGCATAAGCGATGACATGTTTTTATAGCAAAATTACCTCTTCTTCCTGTTCTTGATCTGATTCTGATTCCTTTCAGTTCCAAAATGCCATGCAAAAAGAGAAGGGGAAAACAGAGCAGGCAAAATGCAGAATATTTAGAAGAAAAGAATAGGAAAAAAATCACTTTTGACAACACTTGGCAGAAAAGAATATGCAGTAAGTACAGTTTTTGCAATTGATTTCTTATGTCAAAAGCAACAAAACTCTGAATTGTCAGTATGAAACACAAAAGGCTGCTGAATCAAGCAAATTACAAACATAAACGTTGCTTCTGGGTGTCAGACTTCTAGTAATCATTATTTGTACTAAAACTTAAAATATGTACATACTTCTCCATCCAAAAATTGGCACAAATTAATTTTTAAAATAGTTACAAAACTTACCCACATAAAGTGTAAATATATGAACATTATAAAAACGCTACAACGCATCACATAATCAGAACGATTATGAGAAAGAATGAACAACTGACAAGGTTTTGGTCAAATAGCCTAACACATTACTGAAAGGCATGCAGCCCCTAAACTGACAAGGACAATAAAAAATCCTGCTTATCCCAGAATACCAATAAACTGACTCTTTGCAAGGAAACAAGTGGCTCTTAGTACCTGATCTAACCTAAACAGAACTAAGCACACTCCATTGATTTATGAGATCTCAAATGGTCTCAAACTTGTTATTTATAAATATTAACTCATAACAGACTTTTCATCACCCTTTTCTTCCCTTGATAATGGACCTTTTTCCTTCCTCAGATACATTAATAAGCCTCGTGGTGATATTCTGAAGAAAAAGCATCTACAGTGTGTGAAATTTTCATAGATTCTTCAAAGTTTTGATCAGATGTAGGAAGAAAAATCAGTGTCGAAAGTCAATGTAATATTAAAAACTCTTTATTAAATATTAAAAATAAATATTAAATATTAAAAATCCAGTGTAAGGAAATATTTTTGACCCTGCTATACCCTTTCCAGAGTCTGCTGTGTTTTTGTCACTAACACCACAAATAAACAAGTCCGCTAGTCAGCTGAAAATGCTATTGCAAAGCCCAATAACTATCAAATCCTTTATGACAGCATAACAAAATAATTTTCTGTCCTTCTATACCTCATACCTTGAGAACTTCATATGATGTACAGATGTTTCCCTTATAGAACCTTGTGAAACAGATGTGAACGGTAAATTCCTCTCCAGCGAGGACTCACAAGAATTATAAGGCATGTAGGAAGTCTTTCACAAAACCAAAAATGAAACCCTGAGGTACCTACTGAGTCCCAGATCTGTCTCATCCCTGAACAGAATTGGGGCAAAATTTCTATATGAAATAAGATTAGTGTAAGTCTTACACAATACCAAGTGAAACTACAGGAGCTACATAGTGCAAACTGGATTTTCATTTACTTGTGCTAGATTGTCATCGCTTCTGAGTCCTCATAAAATAAGTTTGATACATCTGACATTCCACTGACATTAACAGTATCAAATACAAGAAACTGAAAGCCCTTGGGTGGCATTTATTCGTCTATTTAGAAGAAAAGAATAGGTTATACACACCTGGCTACAAATTATACAGCTTTAACTATATGTTGCCCTATTTATTTGTATGACAGATAAAAGCCAGTATAAAAAAGCCATTATAATTTCACAGTACCTTTGTGTAAACAGGTAGAGTGATGTTTAAATTACATATGGCTTGATGAACGAGGCCTCGCGTAGATTTTGGCTCCTTCATGAATGATAATCGTCCACAGGGTTCTTGAGTGGTATCTCGCACCTAGCAGAGCAAACATACAGACACGTAATCTACCGTTTCACTAGGCTGTCATTTACTTGTGCTACTCAAAATTGCTTAACAGAAAGAGGTTAGATTTTCCATGTAGTCAGAAATGATGACAGAAAGGATTCTCCATTGTAGTCAGAAATGACTACAATGTAGTCAGAAACGTTCAGGTTTTTCTCTTGCTTGTTTGCAAAGGTATATATGAATATATTTGTGTCTCGAAGCAAGAGAAAACACAGGCACGTACATGTCTACACACGAGGAACTTATTTTCAGGAGTCAGTGGTAATGTTGTAGTCATAGTCTTAAAGAGTACAGAAGTTCCAGTATAATGGGGCTTTGTGATAATTTACAATACCAGTGTTTCATTGAAAAAGTCTCCAAACTTTGTGAGAGCAACATAGCTTCAGTTTATTTCATAACGTAACAGAAAGTAAGTCAATTTCCTCCCATATAGCAAGAATGCATACATATGCTAATATTAGTGATAACTCCATGCTTGAAATTTTAGTGTAAAATATTGTGCTGGTTGATTTGGCTATTATGTTGGCAGAGTGGCTGAAAAATGTTAAAGACTGCACTTAAAAATTTCTATTGCAGAAGGTTTTCTTGATTGTATTGATAAATCCTGTCCTGAGAATGAAGAAATCTGCTGGAACGTATTTATAGGTGTGACCATTACAATCTACAAATGATATTACAGTGCAATATACTTTAAAATTTTGCAACAAATCTTAGAAAAATCTCAATTTCACAGCTGTTAGCAAAAAAAAGCGTGTAAGCACTTCGGACTTAAGATACTCCTGATGTAATTGTAGCTTTTCTACATAATGTGAGGATTAAATACAATGTCACAGGATAAATACAATTGAAAGCATTACTTCATTCTTAGTTTCCTAAACTGATAAAATGATACAACTACATACATGTATATTAACTTTATCAAGCTGAAAATACTAGGTTCAAAGCCTCACGTGTTTTTGAACTTACTGTGGAAAATCTGTCATGATGATAAATATGCAAAGCCAGAAATAGGTGGCATAGATAAAGGTCTAAATTAAAACAAGTCTAAAAAATATTGCTAGGAAGAAGGAGGGTTTAAAAGTTGCCTAGCAGCATACAGCAAATACAAGAAAATGAGGGAGTGGATTGATTTCCTCCATTCTCTTTTTGGAAGAGTTTCCATTTATAAAGGAATTTAAAATTTAAAAATCCCCCCCTCTAAATCTGTTTTACACAAGGGGAGAGGGAGACTGGGTACTTTGTTGTAGCATGATGTCGTAAAGTAAGAGAAAAACAGAATTTGTGGGAAGAGGTTTACAAAACCCTCTGAATCCCTCTCTCTAAAAGACAAAGGTGTGGTGGCTCGATACCAGCAGCTCTGTCTACTGCTGGCACAGACGACAGTGAGAGCAAAGCTGCCCTGGAAATCTCATGAAAGCAGCATATGAGCACTAGCCCTGTGGCAGGTGGTGTTTACATCACTGTCTCTAGAGCTAGGGCAAAAGCATTAGTTGTTTTGTTTTTCTGTTTTCAGATTTTTCTATTCACAGGAAAGATTTAAAAATGTAATAGGACAGTAGTATACATCGTTGGGGTAACGTTAGCTTACAGCTGGGAATTTATCACAAGAAATTATTTCCTTTTTTCTTTGTTCTCAAAAATACAGTAAAATACAGTAGCTTGAAATATGCAAAAACGATATGCTTTTCCTACTGAGCTCCCAAGAAAGTTTTGCATTGCTTTTGAAGGGGGCAAGACTGCTTGAAGAACAGTTATATCTGTATTTGCAGACATATCCACATTTACAAGTGTACGGTAGGACAACCATATTTTGATAGATTTTTACCAAATCTACAAAGTTGTGGGTTTTTTCCCCCAGTTTCTGCAAGTTTTTTTGCAAGGTACTAGACCAAAATACAGAAAAACAAAGACTAACTCAGTCAACTCTTTAGATAATTGAGAAAAGAACAGGATTCCCAGAGGTACCATTTTTGGTGTCTGAAATGCTTAACACTGAAAGAATTCTGTGGACATGAGCGCAGAGCGGATACAGACACAGATAATTATATTTAGAGCAGCTTTCAACTGTTAAGTTTCAGGCAGCCACTTCCATGAAGTTTGGGATGGTTTAGTCAGATTATTTATTGTTATTTCTGACTGCTCAAGTCAAAATCCTTTCCATTTTTATAAAAAATATGGGACTTTTTCAGTCTGATAAGATTATTGAAAACTCAGAACTAGGCAAAAATAAAATCGTAATCCGAAACTCCGGTTATAACATTACCTTAACAAACAGAGGAAGTCTGTTTTCTTTGAAGGCAAAAAAACTGAATATATGATGTTGCCCACTCTTTGTTAGTGGCACCAAATTGCCAAAACAATCAACATAGATGGGTTTTCCCTCTAATACCTATTAGAAATGAAAAAGAAGCAAAACAACAATTAATCACAGTAATGAGTTTAGGATTTCTTCTTAAGCATAATTCTACATTGGCTTCCATCAATCTCTTAAATTTCTGGGACTCGTAAGCATTTGCAGTGTTTGTTATGTACATTTATCTAACATCTGTGGTACTTTTTAGAAGTATTCCAATTTAGAAGAATTCCAATCTGAATATACTCTTAATTCAATAACAATAGCATGACATTTTATAAATGAGAAAAATGAGTATTCAGTGTCATGAATCCATGCAGAGTCTCAATTTGTATTTATCACTTAAATCAAATTTTAGCATACTTTGCTAAGCTGGGCTTATCACAACAGTCACTGAAATATTTATTCAGGAAGCAAATTAGGAGTTCTAGTTTTGATTAGCAGGATAAAAAGCCTGTCTGGTACTATCATGGAGTTGCAGAGGACCTTCTTAACTAATCCGAAAATTTTCGTTAGATTATTTTGCCTCAAACACGTCTATGTTTAATCTACTTGCAACAGTCTGTTGTAGCAGCAAAAGATAGTGTATGTTAGTAGATTCTGTTCATTTCAGCTGAATTTGTAAAGGCCTAGAGTGTTTGAAAGGCAGGCCTTAAGCAAAAGTCTGTCTGAAATGCCTGTGTAATGGTACTGCTTACATCTTTGGATTGCTATTTTTATGGCCTCCAGAGATTTAAATCTCAGCTTAGCAGTCTTGGAGCTGTTTCCTTTCAAACTTCCAGTACATTTGAATGAGACGTTTCTATCATTACTTTCCAGAAATTCAGCCTTGTCATTGAGTTGTATGAGCCCATATTTTATCAAGCTGCTCTGCACAAGAAATGCCTATCAGAGTTTCAGGAACAGTGAAGACAATTTTTTAAATGGTGGGGTTTCAGTCACGAAAAAGAAATCATACTAAGCAGGAGAATATGCTGTGCATGTACTTAATGCATTTCCAATTTGTCATCACTTCTAAGGAAGCTGACAGAACCAGAAAAAACTGCATTTAGCAGGCAGTTTTCTGGATTCCACATAGAAAAGCTTTTGCCTCCTCAGCAACAGATGCAAGTTCTGGTAAAGCAGAACATTAATCAAACCTGCTAGTTTAACGTCTTGCTAAGTAAATACACTGACAAAACGTGACTACTGTTGACTGTCTTTTTGGTTATTAATATGCATTTATGGAGTTACCAGAAGCTGAGATTTACCTCTTCTTTTGCGTTTGAGTATCTCCCCTTTTCTCACAACACCCAGGTCATATCAGACTTGGGAAACGTAACAGTTCAGCAAAGAATAACACCCCCCAAATCTCATCTTTACTCAGACACTCCTCTAAAAGGAAGTTGTTCAAATAACTAAAAAACTCCAGATGTCTTCTGGCAGTTTTTAGCAGAGCTAATTAAAACTAAATAATTCAGTGCTGACCACCACAGAAATGACCACTATGTACTCGGCCTAAACTTGGCCTGCTTCCATATAGCTTACTTTTATGCTGAGGCAGGCAGTGACTTAATTCTTTGGTCTTGTGCATCCAAACCCCCAGTCAAGCTCTACAGCTATGCAAAGTCCCTATCAACTATTGCATTTTTATTTAATAAAAACCATGAGAAATGTCTCCTTCGTGCTTGCACAACTAGAAAACCCAAAAGGCTGGTATGGTTTCCCCACGTAAAAACAGGCTTCATAATACTTCGTTGGAAGAGCTACTGCTCTAATTTGGAATCTCAATTAAAGAAATGCTGACTCGGGCACCAGAGGAAGAGGGGACAGAGAACCTAAAACTTCTGGACTAAATGTTAACTTCTCAACTTCATTTTTATTATATTATTTCCTAGCATAAAATCTGTGCAGTTACTAAGTACAACTGATTAAAGGGTCTACCAAAAAAAGGCATCCTGGGAAACCAAATTCTTTCCGGCCACTTTCACTCTATAGGTCTTCCAGGTCTCAGGCCTGCAACACAGCGCTCAGCCTTTACCAGTCCACCGTCATTTTAACTATCTCCTTGGATCCTGCTACCTACTTTTTTAATTGCTGAGGACTGCCCTGAGGACACAATGGATCTCCCATTTGAATGCTGTTGATGCTATAGAGAAAGCAGTCAAGCTGCTTTGCCAAAGCCAGTCAGGGAACTCCTTTCTAATTTCTGACAATCGGATGATCAGATTTCCCTTTGTGTGAAGCACACAATTACCTTCCACCTTGGAAACCAGGAAGAACAGCAATCCAAATGTAGATGGCTGAATACAGTTAACCTAGGAAGGTTAACTGTAGCCCTGTGGTCTAACAGATTGGCAATGGCCCATTGCCAGTGGGATTTGGTCACTCATATGCAGTATCTCCTGTTCCCTTGCATCTGACAAAAGTCAAAGTCTGCATCTTACCATTAAGGGACAGTCTTTGTATATTGACACTACTACTTTTCAGCCCTTGTAGTAGGTAGTAGGCAGAAATTATTATTTTAAAAACAGACTTTAGAAAATGTAGAAAAGTGCTCAAGATTCTTGTACCGTACCTCTACATCCCTGCTTCTGGCAACTTCAGCAAAGTTTTCTTGTTGTTCTAAAGTTTTATCCACCTTGTCATCTGTCATGCAAAAACATCTTAACCGTGCTTCAATAGGATCATGCGATTTGGCAAACACCACAAATTTGGCCATGTAAGGGACACAGATAATTTCTCTGTACACTTGGGAAGCAAAAGTAACAGATTCTTGCGTCTGCCGACAGTCTATCAGCCAAAATCTGTAAAAGAAAATGAAGCATCGTGTAATCAACATAGCAAGATTTAAGCAATGAATCAAACATTTGGCTTCTTTTACCAAGAACTCGATCTCTTCTAGACTGAACTCAGCGGTTTCTGCTCTCCATCAACTTTCAACAGTTTCAGATCACATTTCTTTGAACTAGTGATTGATCTTACCCTATTCACCAGTTCTTCTAAAGATGCCCAAAAGGTCTCTGAATTTTTCCTTATCACATCTCATTATTTAATTCCTATGCAGAACATGGGTAGAGAAAATTAGTGTAGTGCAAGATGTACTGAAAGTGTACAGTTCATATTTCTCCTTGAGTGTGACTTTGCAATATGTGCCTTTCATCTAGAGCAATAAAGTATCTTTTTGACTGCTAGCTGTTGCAGAACATCTGATGATGTGGAGGAGAGTCATGCTGTCCCATAAAAATCTGACTAAAAATGCTTGCATTGAGTCAAATGCCAGTCCTGTGATTTCTTTTCCAGGCTATGACTAATTTGTTAAATTGCAGAGTGGTCCATTTCACCTTTTTGTTTTTAGATCCCTGAGATCTTCCTAGGCTGGTATAATTTCTGTTTCTTTAGTGCTGGTCACATTGGTAATGCTATGCTTGGGGGGCAGATGCAGTTATGTACCAGCGTGCTTTTCCCAGTTCACTGAATATTTAGTGATGAGGAACTGAAGACTGAAACTGCTTTTGACACTTGTTGCAAATGCCCCAGTCTGTTCTAAAACCTTCATATCTTACAGATGAAATATAAAGCTCTTTTGCCCATAACTTTTGCTTTTCTTCTACCATCTAGCTCAAATGGTTGCAGTACACTCCTTACATACAGCATCAAAAACTGAGGTTCTTTTAGGTGCTCCAAATAATTTGGTCCACTGTTTAGCAATGCATTTGACATTAGAAATTATTCTTACGTGAATTCAACCAGGGACTTTTAAATTTGATTTTGGATTAAGTTTTTGTTTGTATATTGAAGAACAGTGAGATATACATAGAGATATACAGGTATTTCTATATTTGAGCCACATTATATTATGAAGACCCAGACAGCAAATATGTCAATATCTGGTCCTTACTATCTTTGCTTCATAGAGGTTGTGATCGCTGATTGACTTTTTACCATGGTTTCTAACATGCCATTTTACTGACAGTAGCTTTGTAGTGTATATGCTGAATCTTCTCCACCAGGGGTTTCCAGTCTGTGACACACATAGCACTAGTCATACATTAGTGTGTTCAAAGCAGCTTGCAAATGCTACTGGAATAAACGACTGCCTCTTCCTCTTCCCAGCATAAAGCCAGAAGCTGCTTTTCCACTGCTATCTCATTAAGGTATCACCATAAGGAGAGAGAAACATTTCAAAATTCCAGGGTAACACCGTAAGTTGCCTGATTTCGCTAACATGATTGTTACAAAGGAACGCCTGCCTCTCACAAAATATTGCTAGTGCATGTGAATTGGAAAAAAAACACCTCACACAGTAGGTACTTTCCGAACAGAATAGACATAAATGAACACCTAAGACTTATCATGGATGTTGGAATTCAGATCTAAAACTTCAACTTCCAGAACAGGCAAAACTACCCTTGTCAAAGGGACTCTTCTCTTTACTGAGTTACAGGTTCTTGATCTTTTCTTTGGGTTATTTCAAGCCAGGACAACATTGCCCAGTGACAAAAATTGATAGAATTTCCATACACTTTGTCAGGACAACTGCACTGTTCTTTTGTAAAGATAGCAACTTTCACTTAAAATAATTTTACTTTCTACACACAAAGCAAAGCAACATAAAAGCACCAAGCATTTTACAATGAATAACATGTATTTACCTTCTTTCTCAGCTATCACTTCATTTAATTTGTCTCTTGAGCTGCTGGCATTTCATTTAAATAAAATTTGCTGTGTGGGTGGAAAGCATGCTTGAGTTTGACACTCGTAGGATGGAGAAAAAAGTCACGAGAGGTCAAAGACACCTCAAAGCTGATATAGTCTACAGGCGGCTTATTACTTACTGTAGATTACACGGTATTATATCCCACAGAGCATGTCTTTCAAATGTGATGTCTCTCGTCTTACTCACCTATAGTTGAATAATAGTGAATTTCATGCTGTGTTTGTCTTTATAACATTTAATAAACGCACTGGTTAAAAAACAGAGGCTGATGACATCTTATAGTCAGAAAGCATGTCTGATACATAAAGGCTTTGCATACTGATATTTTGCTTATAATGTGTGGGAGCAGTACACTATGCTGGACTCAAACAGGAGAGGCTATATCCTATTCTGAGAAATACCCAAATGCTCAAATGATTTGCTGCCATACCCCAGGGGATAAGGAACAAAACAGATACTACATTAAAGAAAAGCTGTAGCCCAGGAAATGGAAACCAGCTGTGCCTCAAAGTACACAGTTTAATTCACATGTATTTTAACAGTCAGGCATCAGCAGATCCTCTGCATGGCACAAGGGTGAAAGAGTAGATGCACTTTTAGACCAGGGCACAAGTACAGCAATTCAAGTTAGCTTGTCCTTCAGCAAAGAAGTCACTTAATTCTCTGACTGTAAACACATGAAAAATCGCATTTGCTAGCTTCAGTGGCATTTGAAATCAGGCTTGAATTTAAGTAATCTGCTGAACATTCAGTCTAGATTAAAAGGAAGAGATGGAACTCATTAAAATCTCTATAGGGGACCCAGCCTATGTCACAGAACTTTGCAATAGTCATCAATTTAAATGTCATCATGGAGTTAGAAAACATCCACTAATAGTATCTTTAATGGGTTGATTCCACATGTGTTTCTTAAATTAATCTTTAATTTATCCCTTTAAAGAGAATACCGCAGGTAACAGATGAGAGCTAAGATCTCCCTCTTGTGGTCACTATTATTAAAGAAAAATGCTTGCCTGAACTCAAAAGCAGCTCAGAAAATGTACGTAAGCAAAGCGTTCAACTTAATGGGAAGACATTTCTGAACTAGGAAAGTATAGAAAAATAATACTTCATTTCTCCTTACTTCAAAGGTTTTACTGTAGATCAGACTGTAGGAGCTGAACTCATTTTAACGTTGAATAAATTATTAAGTTAAATAACAAATTTAATCTAATAGTAACAACTGCTCTGGCCTCTGAGTGTTTGTAGTGAAGAAAATTCATTGATTGTCATAGGACTAGTCATATTTAAAGTTATTCAATTTTTTTTTTTTTTTTAAGTTTGCAAGACTACACACCCAAAATAAAACTTTTTCAGGTTATGGACTGCATCTCTTGTCAGAGAGAGTGATCACAAGATATTTAAGCATTTCTGTGACATAAATCATAAAGAGTAATAAAAACACTGTTACTATTACTAATTTTTTACAAAATTCTGCTTGTCAGTAAACAGAGAGAAATTGAAACCCACTGTAAGAACAAAGGGTTGGAAGAGATTCTTCTAGATCACAGTTTGGTACATCTGTTTGATTTCTTTTTTGTTGGATGTTCTGTAAGCAACATCTTCTCTTATAAGATGTAAAATGAGCTAGTCCGGATAAAGGATTTCTATTTCCATTGAAATTTTCATATTTCAACTTCGGGGGGCAGGGGTGAATTATTCAAATTGAAACAATTTTTTTTCTAACTTCCTGAAATCTGGACTGTCCTTCACATTACTATTTCAGAAAATTAGAAAATTGAGTATAAGTTATATATTGAGTATAATTCATTCCTGGGATAGTGGCAGGTGCTGACTGCAAAGGACTAAAGGCTGAGAAAAAAATGACAAGAACATCCATTTCTTTCAGCAGCTGCCAAGGATTCTAGCTCTTACAGTTCTGGTACCTCTTCATGGATTCAGCAGTCCGCTTTGGGCTAGGATAAGCTCAAGGCTTACAAAATACCTGGCCAACTGGTTGCCAACACAGACAAAATGTCTTGTGTTCCTTCTGCTACATAAATATTTGTTGTAAACAAAATGTAAAAACGTGTTGTAAAACAAAGCGCATACAAAGGAAGAAGCCATACACTTGAAAGCTACACTGTAAAACTCAGGTTTTGTTGCAGAGGTACCTGGCAGACACATTTGTTGTGAAGGAAACACATTCATTAACAAAGGTCAGCGGTGTTGTTCCTGTGATGTCTTCCCACTGGGCAGGGGTGGTTCCTCCTGAAATGATGATAATAAAAACAATATTTAAAAGCAGAAAAATCTCCAACTTTCCGGGCTTCTAAGAATTATTCTAAATTGTTCTGAATTTTTTATCACTATGCAGCCAGTAATAATCCCAGGCATGCCTTCTGCTTATGCCCACATTATTCTACTAATGGTAATAGCATTGCATAGGTTTCATGTGAGACAAGAAACTACCAAAATACAAATGATTTGCAAATGATGAGTTCTGTAGCACAGCTCCAGAAACGTTAAAAGAGGCTGAGATTTTTGGGGGGAGAGATTTTTTTTTAATAAAAATTACGTTTGTTTGTTCTAGACTGTTCACATATATGGGGCAAAATTAGCCCAGATATAATGCAGTGAAATCAATATTGTTGCACTTGGGAAACAACAATATTGCTACTAACAAGGACAACTACAATTTATGATTTCTATAATCTACTTTTAAAAATAATTCAAAGCAGAATCAGGTCCAGTATGTATATAACTAAAAAGTTTTTTGCATATCCTAAAGAAGGCCTATGAAACAATTTGTGTCTGACAACCTCTCCAGGAGATCCTGAAGCTGAAATGTGCATCTCCGTATCTTTCTGTACACCAGACACCCTTCTTGATTACTGCCTTGATTACTGGTCTATTAAATATTTCTGCCTTTGACTCTGATGTTACCAGCTTTCTATTTGTCCCATACATCTGAAAATGGGTCACAATCTGTCACCCTTCAGATATTCTGGAATGAATGATGGGGACTTAAACTCTTTTTTCAGGCTTTTCAACATATATTCTTGCCTCACATTTTGGTTGCTTTCCAGTTCTGTTAAAAGTCACACTGAGCTTACAGAAAACAGAAATAGAAATATTAATTTCTAACAACAGTGTCAAGTATTTATAAAACACATAAGAACTTGAAGTAAAAACTAGATTCCATCTACCAGGGCTAAGTCAGAACATCTGTCTGTCTCTCCCTCTTCTCATATACAGCTGACTTGTTCGATATCCTTAAACCAAGCTGTTCAGTTAAGGAATACTCCCCTTTTCAGAAAATAACCTCTTTTCTCCCTTTAGTGAAGCATTCTTGTGACCAATTTCCCTTTTAAAGTTTTCCAGAGGGTCCGGAGAGACTTACTGTTCCTCCATTCTTCTTCATAAAGGGGAATCCTCTTCTTAATTTAAATAAGCACTGTTTCATTTTCTTCAAAATGCAAATGTCTCTTTGTCCACCAGATGTTATCTCTGGTATTTCACCAGCTAACAACACTTTTGCAGCAAGAACTTGTAAAAGCACCTATCCTGCCTTCTCCCTCCCACGCCCTCCCACGACTCGCTGGCACAGCTCAGGGTGTAATGCATCTTACACTGGATTGATATATGAAATAAGTTTGAACATTAACAAAGATACCTGACGCTAACTTCTAAATAAGATAAACGTATACAGCTCATTACCACCAACTGAGAGTGGACATGATGGTAATCACTTTAGAGTTACAACAAGCTTAAAGTGATTAACCCCAATATTTTTCTCTGAATCATATACTGAAACATTATGTCTGCATTACTTTTATGCTGCTAGGCAGAAGTATGTTGGTTCTCAATAAGAAACTATAAGGAAAATCCCACCCCCACCACCACCCCACCCAAAA